TCCCTTCGCCTCGCTTCCTCCCTCGCATCCTTCAAGGCTGGTCTCAAGGCCCTTCTCTTCGATCGTGCCTTTGATCTTCCTCCCACCTCTCTGCCTTCCCTCATCCCTACACCACCCCTCCCTCATGCTTGGGCCCCGACAGCTGACTGTTCAGCGCTTTGGGACGCCTTCCCATTATGAAAGACGCTCTATAAATGTAATTTTGTTGTTGTGGTGTGCCACCTAATATCAAAAGTTCCTTAAATAACATAAGCAATGTTCTAAAGCTACCAAAACCTTGTATTGCATATACTGTCATTTGCGCTCTGCCACAGTTTTCCTGCTGTTCTCTTGCATGGATAATTTTCTTTCATGGATTCTTCCCAACTCAATCGCCACAGAAGCCCACAAAGCTCAAGACAAAGATAGGCACAATTGCTTCAACGGTATTAAAGAAATATATGTATATAATGTCTGAACATGTCATAGTAAGAGTTGAATGATTGAAAACAGCCCCCCAAATAAAGGTAAATTGATTACCATCTGGCAGTTCATTCATCCACAAATATCAATACCACTGTGCTATTGAAATGAAAAGTTCAACTAAGTTCAAACTTGACTAATCCCATGCATGAAATTCCAATGTTGAAGTCTATTCAGGAATCTTGGCTGTTTACAATTACTTAAATCACATGATGATTTAACACATGATGGAAAGCAAGAATATGTTAACATGCTATCATCTTTCAAAGGGGCCATTATATGTTATGTTTTACTGCATAGTGCATATATAGTATTTCAACCTAAATAGGCAGATGCAACCTTGGTTTAATGTCTCATTATTCATAGATCCGCATCTCCAGCAAAGGAGATTTCCTCCAGCTCTGTATTTTGAACTTTTGAACAGACAGAGGCGGGCAATGTGATGGAGGCAGAAAAAAAGCAATCCTGGTCAGGGAACGGATGTGGGGTAGAAAGGAAAAGCTGGGGATTGAACCTAATACCTAAGTTGCGCACGGGTTCGGTGAGTCTGAGGGAGAGCCTGGAGAGGTTGAGGAGTTCAGACCTGCAGGAGAGAAGACGGTGAAGGGAGCCAAAGAATATGGCTTCCGTTTTGTCGACATTCAGCTGCAGGAAATTTGCACTCATGCAGGCCTTGATTTTGAGGGCGAGTGGGGTAGAGCCTGAGGAGATAGGCTGGTTGATTGTGTCAGCCAGCAGTTTGGAGAGGAGGGGGAGTTGAGTGACCAGAGGAGGGGCTGCCTCCTGTTCCTGTGTTACTAAATGTAATCATTTATTTATCTTAAATCTTGGCAACAAAATCTTATTTTATCTTGGCAACAGATTGTCGGAATCGAACAGAGAGTTTCTGGTATCTGCCATCAACCCAGTGAGGGCTCAAATCTGTGCTTGTTGGCTATTCTTCTTGGAGAGAGGTAAGCGAGTTGACCTGACTCCAAAGTGACATGCATGGTGATAAAATATTAGAATCAAATCAACTCTCTGTGGTGGTCTCCGTAGTCTGGTTCCAGGAGGGTCCACAGCACTCCAGGGCACTGCTGATGACAGACAAGCCAGTTGGGATCATTGGTCACTGTGAGCAGGGATTCTTCCCACTCAACTCTGCAAGCCACGGCCATAACCAATGGTTCTAGTTAGTTAAAATCTAGCAATACCGCAACCTGTGCCTAATGCTCTGGAATTAGGTAAGTAGGGTGTGTTACTCCAAGGAGAGAGTACTCATTCAATTCTTGACACAAGGACATTTCCATAGGTTGATGGCATACATATGTGGAACTCTCAGACTGGTTTGATGGGTGTCTGCACGTGAGACATCTCTCTGACCCCCCAAAATTCTTAAATTATCAACATTTATTTTCAATCTCTCCTGAAAACTGGCTCCAGGAATAATGTGCAACAAATATGCGGATGTACAGCATATTTGTTAAGCTGCAACACTGTATCAGCTTCCCGGATTGCTTTGGCCTGCCACACTGCAGTATAGTCAGTCTCTTGTGCCAGCTAGCGTGGCTATGAATCTACTTGAGGAAAATCAGTCACCCACCAGTCTATCGATGAATATTTGCTCTGCTGTTATGAGATTGGTTAACTAATAGTTTTAGATTGCCATGTTCAATCCTTACTGGTGTAAACTGCAAGAATCAGCTAAATGCTAAACAGGAGGAATGTAGCAGAGTTCTAATCTGTAGGTATTTAAGTATTGAATCAAATGAAGAAAAATACGGCATAGCAATGATCAAGATTACTATGGTGGTGTATGACTATTTTTGGGTGTCAAGGGATATATGTATTGTACAATGGAATTCAGGAGATGACCTGATAATTGCATTGATTTTTTACAATGGTTCAGGCCTTATTTGTGCAGATATTGAGCAGTCCCAACATAATTGCATGTTTCCTGTGAGTCATAAAGGAGCCCACATAAAATACTGAGGCAATAACGTTGGCAATGAGTAATAATCACGCATTATCAATGTCGCCACAGATAGCAGTCAGAGAAATTTTATTCCACTGTATATAAATCTAGTACACATTGCACTTAACTTCACAGCTATTCCCTCTTTCTAAAAATCTGAAAGTCAAAAGGCTATTGATTGTTTTTATCCAACAAAGCTTCACAGAGCCAAAAGTCAGCCATAAATGTATTAGTGTCTTTGTTCACCACAGGGTGGTTATTAACTCGGTTTTACAGCCAGCCTGAAGTAGGCATGAGAAATTATATGGACTTTTATTAACAAATGCTTGCATTTTATCATGCCTTATAGATCATAATGTCTTGAGGTACTTCAGAGTAATTATTGTCAATTTTAATTGCTTTTGTTGTAGCCAAACACAGACCCAATTTGTGCTAAGCAAGGTCCCACGTTAAATGAATGACTGATTTAGGTGGAGGATTGTCAGCCCAAAACTGCACTAGTCTCAACCTAGACTGTGAGCTCAAGTTTCAACCTATGACTTCAACACAACATTCTGAATCAGAAGTACCCACTGAGCCATTAGAAAACCTAAATATATGTATTTAATAATGCATCAAAAGTTTTTTCCTGGATTCTTTGCCTATAGGTAGTGACGAATTTGAGCTTTCAAGCCTATCCTTCCCATGGTAAAAAAACACTGGTTCTGGATTGATCACAAATTTCATTACATAGCACACAAAATCAAGATCATATTACTTTAGAAGGCATTTTGTGAAATGAAACGAAGATTGGTGTGCACCAACTGCAAGCAGCGACCATGTAATGGACTTCAGTGCCTGATCATGGTCATTAGTACCTTACACATGAAAGACTTATCTGTATTAATGAACTCTCGTGAGATCAGTTGTTCTATGGTCTTGGCAGCAGCTGTTTCCCTCTCTGCTCCGAACTAAAACGACAGAAAGCCTGACAAGAAATGTGTTAACCATAACTGTTCTAACCCCTCATCTATGCTATGCACCAGAACAAGTAAATCAAAAACAGATGACTGTTGAGAAGCAGTCTACTCAGAATTAGCTGGCTACATCAGTTCCTGCAGCAGGCTTGTTCTCATCCTGAAATATACCCAGAGTATGATATTCCTCCACTGAGTTCAATAAAATAAATCTCATTGGGAATACCTTGTTCTGTTTGCTAACTGCAGCAAAGTTTTTGTTATATTCCTATAACAGTTCAATAACCCCTCAGCTTAAGTCATTTGATTCAAGCCTGTTCGCCATGTGTTTGTCATTCTCCATTATGTTTCTTTTCAACAACTGATTGAAAGTTAGCTGCTTTATTTCCTGGCTTTAGTGAATTTGTCTAAGCACGCTGGGCAGTTTAATACTGTGCTGTCAGTTTAACAATTTGTTTCTGTGCAGTTTTTGAATACCTGTAATTAAATTATTTTAAAAAATCATTTATAAATTGCAGACACAAAACTCGCAAATGGAGAACAGGCCAGCTGACAATTAATTCACTATATTTATCAAAGTGGTTATATAATAATAATTTATCCTACAACATATTTTGATTATGAGCTGTTCAATTAAAGTTGATTTCTTTAGGTATTGTTAAATTGGTATATTATGAAATTAATAAAATAATCGCTGATGCTAGTATACCGGGCGATAAAATAACACAAAATTGGCTGTTGTGTTCACCTACAATAGTTAGTGGACTTACAGTACACAATAGTTACAGTATACTTGGACTTTACAGTGAATTCTGTGAAGTATCTTGAGACATCCTCATGGTGTGAATATATTAAATGCAAGGATTATTATAAAACACTCCTATATGTTTGAAAAACACAACAGAATCATTCAACTCATAATTAGCCTTAATAATTCCTTTGAATTAATATCCCCAATTATTTCTTAGCACGCGTTAAACAAATCTATTTTGAAAAACAAACAGAATTGGAAACAATCAGTTACATCTAATATATATATTTTTAAAAGAGATCCTGATATTTGATCTCTCTAAGACTTATCTGAAGTTTACATCAGTAACATCAGCTAATGTGTAAATGAACACATATTGTTTTGTAGCTGGTCGGTACTTAAATGTCTTGGTATTACTTCATTGACAAGTTTTGCCCATGTTCTATACCACTGGAGAAAGATGTCAGCATTGATTTCAACATTTATATTTAAATGTTGCAATAGCTCCTCCAACGGACAAATTGGTGCTGGTTTCGTGCAGCACTTGGCATGTAGCACAGAAGAATGTCAGTTCGAGTGTGCGTGTGTGCTAAATTAGTTAATCACAGCCAGGTTAACAATTATAAATGATGCCCGCAACTCAATTTAGGATGCGAGACATCAGTAAGAATTCCCACTCCTGATAACCATTAAAAGGCCCTACTGGAAACTACATGTTCGGACGTCAGGTGAGGACTAGATCAGGAAAAGGAGTCAAAACACCCAGGACAGGAGAAGAGATCAGAGAGCAAGAAATGGAACAAAATCCCAAACCATTAATTTTACAATAAAACAATTTAATAAGAAATTATTTTATTAAAAGACCATAATTGTGACTGATTGAAAAACAATGGGATCTACAGTAACTTATTGTAATGCCGATTAGCTCTTCCAAGGACAACTACATTCTGCAATAAATTCTTCTTGTAACATAAGATGAAAACTCCTCACATCAATATCATACATTGTGCGGCTAAAAAAAAATGTACTTATCACCCAGTATATTATTATTATATGCAAAACTAAATCCTTGTGGCAAGGTCATTCTTAATACAAGCCTATTTCTCATCAATTATGCTGATCATTTTACAGCAGTTTCTCTACGCACTTTGGATTTGCTTATTCAGCTACATGAATTGGCAATTTAACCCCTGTAAAGAAATCTAGGTAAACAATGTCACTGCAACCTTAGTTCCTTCAGGAAGCCTTTATTGGTTTGTATTGCACCTTTGCGGTGGTCATATGAAGAGGGGGCAGGAGCCCACAGTCTAATCTGCCTGGATTCACAGCAAGATCAAGTCATGCTATCCACTTACCCTTCTATTGCTTGACCCAAATAGTTATTAAGAAAGACACTAGTCAAGCCCAGGACACTGGACTCTACAAGGGAAGGTGCTTGAGGCCAAGACACTGGACTTATTTATATAAAAAAACAGTTTGATGCCATGATGGGATAACAGCAAGATAAATATTCTGGAATGAGACGAGATCTCTTCCTTCCATTCCTTCCTTTTCTGGAGACAAATGTTGGTGGCCTGGATCGAAAAATATCCTGTTATAATTGCATACTGTCAACAAGTGTCCCAAGGACCTTCTTCACTCGAACCGATCTTGTGAATTAAATTCAGTGTCATTGTACTACCCAACAAGAACAATAACGAAATTACATTTGTATAGCGCCTTCAACGTTGGGAGGACGTGAATCAGTAACAGGAGAAAATCATGTTTGGCTATTTAAGTAGATTGAAGAGGAACTTAATCAAAGGAGTTAATTCACTGCGAGATTTAAGTTTCCCTTTAGTGCATTTACCTTGGCTTCTGTGTTTTCACCAAACGTAAAAAAAAATGCTTTCAATTATCATGACTTCAAACACAGTTGAAGCAATAGACGAGTTGAAGTACATCGAATTTGATCGACATGTGAGATCAAGCAAAACCCACCCCCCCCCCAAAAAAACAGAACTTGGTCCCTCTTGACCTCAGCATCAGCCTGCAGTTTCCAGTCTAATTGATGGTGGTTGAAACCCACCTGTTATTCTCCTGGATGTGTGGAGAGTTGTACAGTTCCAACACATGGTCCTTCTTTTCTAAATACAAGTGTTTATGTCCTGGATTGAAAAATATCCTGTTATATTTACAACACGCAGGCAGCATGTTACCTCTTTAGCCTCAACTGTTAGGTACACAGCATTGGCTTCATACACAATAGTCTTTTCACAGGTCAAATATGATGCTTTATGGTTCAGACTATTTTCTTCTTTCCCCTATTCTCTTATTTGTATACTTTGTTTTCATTATTCTGATTCTTCAAAAATGTCATAAGATTGTAGGATCCAATGGATCAGTTACAATTAAATTCAAAACATTTTTTTTGAAGGATAACTATTCAAATGCACTATTCAAAATCTATTATGCTCTGGGTTTTTTCTTCGATTCTTCATTCCAGTCAAAATCCAGCATACCATCATCATCATCCAACTCATCAGTAGAAAAAAGATACTTCCTTGCAATGGTTGCTGCATTGTGAGTTGGGGCAAACCTAAAAGTCTTCCTTTTCTTAGCTGTTGATGCAGAATCTGCATTCACATTTTGCTCCAGTCTATTAAGCTTCCTAGCTATCACGTTCTTACTGTTGCGATTTTCCTCAATTACATTTTCCGTTCCCCTTTCAGGAGGTGGACTAAAGGAGAATTTGGCAAGTTTCGCTAATGTATTGGAGGATACTTCCCCGTGATTTGTATTAGTTGAATTTTGGTCTGTTTTGTTGATCTACATTTGGTTTTGTACAGACAGGATGTTTTGCTACATCCATTGCCACATGCCCCTGTACAATATCAGAACACTTTGGCACAGCAAGCAGAGATTTTAATGGCAACTCAGCTCCACCACAGACTTCAACATGTACACTTTTGCCTGTTGTCTTATGAGGGAACCTAGTTTCAGAGGGACATGCGAGTGTTCTCTGTTGCTTTTCTGAAGCATCACTGCTTTGCACATGTGGCTCCGAAGTCCAGGACAGTTCAGCATTCAGTACCCCAACTTCACCAGCTTTGATATGAGGTGTCAAAGAGCCAGAAACTGAATGACTAAGTTTTGGCTTTTGTTTGAATTCAAATGTTTTTAATTTAGCCAGTAGAGGATTAGAATTTGCATTGGTTTCAGGGACTGGGGGAGTCATGCAAGCCTCGTGCATTGTATTTCTTGGTCTGAACAAGGGTACAGACTGAGTGGCTGCAGCAGGTGTGCTATGCAAAGGACCTTGGTCTGAGCTGCCACTATTTGGTGTGCATGAGGAGTCATTCACATTAATTGCACTGGTTTCCTTACTTTCAGACATGTGACTTGCTTTCAAATTTTGGGTGTTTCCAAACAACTTTATACTTTCTACAACTCTTCTCGAGTGTAGCTTTTTTGATCCGTGGATTTTTATAACAGGCTTAAATGTGTTTGAAGAAGCACACGATTCATCAATTATCTGTCCTTCAGTGCAGACAGTTTGATCAATTCTCGTGATCTTGATGGCTGAACCAGCTGAGCTCATGTTATTTGGACCACAAAAGCTTTCAGGTTCTGAAGTCCTGTTGGAAGGGTCCAGGTTTGTTGCAGCAGCCTCTGTATTTGTTACAGTCTCTGGACAGATACTTGTTTCAGGCAATATGGGTAGATAAGAATCCTTTGGTGTAGGAGATCCAATCTGTGCAATATCACCTATTTTGGGTTCAAATTCACTTTGGGAGCCATCAAACCAGTTCAAACCATTGTCGCTCTGATCGATGTCCTGAAAATCACTGTTCCTCTCATTCTTTGAACAATCAGTGGAATTGTCAGGAAACAGGTAGGTCTGGTCATTCGACTTTTTCCTTCCAGAAGGTGACCCCTGTTCTTTTTCACCATGAATTCTGTAAAGAAAATATTACAATTGGTTTACAATGATAACTAAAACATTCATTTATGGAGTCCTGTAGCTCAGTGGTTAGAGCACTCGCTTTGCAAGTGAGAGACCTGAGTTCAATTCCAGGCAGAAGGCGAAACCTTGGGCAAGTTTCCTTACTCCACACAGAGCCTAATAATAATCCCTCCAAAACCAAAAACAATAATAAATTGGTCATTTTCAATCTACGACTGTTTGTGGGACATTGCTGTGCGCAATTGGCTGCCGCGTTTGCCCACAAATGTACAGTCATTTCACTTTACAGTGTGTTCTGTGAAGTGCTTTGGGACGTCCTTCCGACGTGAAAAGTGCTATATCAAATGCAAGGATTATTATTATTATTATGCATAGAACTAGAATCATTGAAATTTACAGCATTGAAGGAGGCCATTCGATCAATTCTGTTTGTGCTGGCTCTCCCAATTGGTTTGATCAGCTCTCCCAATTGGTCTGACACAAGTGGACCATGCATAAGAGCATCCAAATCAAATTGAGTTCCACATATGTATACTATTTACACTTAGGAATTTCTTGGCTCTCCAAAAGAGCTATCCATTTAGTTCCATTCTCCTACCTTAATGTGCAATTAAAACTAGCGCCTTGGGACGTCCTCCTGACGTGAAAGGCGCTTTATAAATGGAATCTTGTTGTTGTTGTTGTTGTTGTTGTACGAGGTCTACCCCTCTATTCCTCCCCCAACTAAACAATCCAATTTTTTTGTATCTCAGTGAAGGGTTAAAGCAATACAATAAAGGAAATAATATCGTTGACCTTCGTATTGTTTCCTCGGTTTGATCTGGAGCTGAGTATCCATTTTACCTGTCAAGCTTTTCCAGTTCTTTCTGGAGAAGATTGTGGAGCCCCAGTCTCTCCAGCAGAAGCTCACACTGCATTCTGTACTGCTCTGCTGGGTTTTCTGGAAATGATGTATGCAATGCATTCACACCACCAAGAAGAGCCCCTCCCTGGAAACAAAGCACATTGCAATCTGCAACTAGATTTATGGAAATAAGGTGCATTTTGGGGCGTTAAGTTTACAAAGGTTGTTAGGTTTAACCATAAGTAGTGAATAATTATTCTTGCTTTCCGAAGTTAGTAAATTTGCCAACAAGCAGAAAATCAGTAAAGTGGTACGAACATTTGGATAGAGCCTAATAATAATCCCTCCAAAAACCAAAAACAATAATAAATTGGTCATTTTCAATCTACGATTGTTTGTGGGACATTGCTGTGCGCAATTGGCTGCCGCGTTCACAAAAAGTCAATTCACTTTACAGTGTGTTCTGTCAAGCGCTTTGGGATGTCCTCCCGACGTGAAAAGCGCTATATCAAATGCAAGGATTATTATTATTATTATTATTATTATTCATTCTGTAAAGTAACATCTCAGAAGATTGCAGTGCATTCATTGCCTATTGCTACATATACATGCACAGAATCATAGAAAAGTTACACTAAATTGTCAAGTGCTTTGGGATAAACTCCTGACATGAAACATTATATACGTGTTGTATTGTACAGTATTGTACTGGATTGCACAGAAGATTCATCAAGTTTTTATTCTCGTGCCAGATTCTCCATTTTAATCCCAGTTCTTTGCTGCTTCTGAGTACACTTTATATTGTTCCTCTTCAAATTTTATTAAATTCTTGCTTTAAAGTCTTGCTATGGTCGTAGCTTCAATAGCTATTGATTGCAAAACATTCTATGTTCGAGCAACTAGGAGCATGAGAGAGTCCCTCAACCTTTCCATTAACATATGTCTTTAAACAAGCAACTTCTGCCTCCTCCATACTAAAAAAAAACGCTTAATCTGATGTCAGCAATCTTATATCCTAATGTGCGAATGACAAAAAAAGAGAAAAAAAATTGCTACAGACTTTGCTTTACCAAAATGAATAGTAAATTAAATCTGTGATTTTAAATCCTTCTTGTGGAGGAACATTCTTAGTCATAATACTAATAATAATCCTTGCATTTAATAAAATTTCATGCAAGGAGTATGTCTCACAGTGCGTTACAGGATTTTACTGTAAAATGTAGTGACCGTGTTATGTAGGCGAACTCAGGAGCCAATTTGTACTCAGTAATGTCCCAAAACAGGTGTGAAGTTAATGACCAATTTTATCTGGCAGCTTGTTGGCCATCTTAACTATTTATGAAAATGTGCACCTGCATGGAAGACTCCATTACAGAGACCACTGTGATGGCATCTTCAATGGTTACAGTATCTCGAAACATCAGTCTGGCGTGAGCTGCAAAAGAATATAAAGTATTAACATAACATTGATGACAATTTCGACAACAACTTGCATTTAGAGAATTAGAAAGGCACAAACAATATTTAAAAACACATAACTGATTAAGTAAAAGTCCAAGGTTGTAATTACTTTCCTGAATCTAGTTTAGTAACTCAAGACCCTTATTGAAGGGAAACATACATAATCAAATACTTTGCAAAAACATTATTGCCTTTGGCAGGCCTGTACTGCTAGTATTCCTTAAAACACTCTCAGAAATTAGCATACAAATATTGACAGCTCGAGAAAGTTTACCTTAGTAGGTCAAGAAATGCAGTAATGCCCTCAATCAAATTTTCTTTAAAAGTAATCCTCTTTATCCATTTTGTAGAAATAACCTATGCTTCAGTAGGTAACGTTCAAACTATCTTTTCAGAAGTAATGACTTGGAGCAATGGTATATTTCAGTTTCAAAGAAATATTAGGTGACAAGGTGAAAATTAATAGAGGGTATGGGGGCATTCAGAATTTTAATTCATTCCACTAGTGACTGACCATGGTTAACTCATACAAGTTTTCACCAAAAGTCTAATATGGTGGTATTTCTACTATTGTGGAGTCCTGTAGCTTAGTGGTTAGAGCACTCGCCTCGCAAGGGAGAGGACCTGGGTTTGATTCCTGTTAGGGCGAAACCTTAGTTTCCTTATTTCACATACCTCTGTCTACCTAGCAGTAAGTAGGAACCTGGTTGTTAGTCGATTGGCGGATCGCATTTCCGGGGGTTTTAATCCCTTCCATTCAAAAAAAATTTTTAAATCACTTAATCCATGACTGTTTGTGGGACAAAGCTGTGCACAATTGGCTACTGCAATCTGCCCACAAAATATACAGTCAATTCACTTTACAGTATATACTGTGAAGAGCTTTGAGACGTCTAGAAGACGCGATAAGGCACTATATCAAATGGAAAGATTATAATTATTATTATTGTTAACTGCATTGATTTATACAACCCAGGTCTGTACAAGCTACACTTAATAGTGCCAATATATGATGTGATTTGCAAGACTCTGCAGAGCTCAGTTTGAACCTTGCTTTTCTATAGTAAGAGTTGGTGTAGAACAGTATTGCTCAGATGTTACTATCTAAATCTGGTGTTTGCCTTTTATGGCTTGTACTGAGCTGCTGGGACTTGGTACTATCTTTAGCTGTTGTTGGTGCCAGTCCCATGTTGACATCTTCATTCTCCTGACGTCAAAAGAGCAGCAGAACATTGCTGTGGTCAGCCTCTGCATTCAAGTGTGAATCAGTTTTCCTTCACACCAGTCAAAGTAAAATGAGAACCAATGAGAAGCCTCTTCAGTAACCTTTTCTTTAAACCCTTTAACAGTACAGTAAACTCAAGAGTGTCCCCCACTCACCTACCCCAGTCAGTCTGTATTTCATCAACAGTATGGAAAATAAATAGCATTTCATTTGTATGTTTGAGCAACCATTCACGAAGGTCAGGCACTCTATGGAGGGAGGGATCTCATGCCAGAGTAGAGTTCCTGCCTGGCTCAATTGGTAGCACTCTCATCTATGGGTCAGAAAGTTTTGAAAGATTGTTGGCCAGGACACCAGAAGAAACTCCATGTAGTGATCTAGCCTGACACTGGTACAGTCGAGTGCTGGGGGAGCTCTGCATTGTCGAAGCTGCCATCCTTTATATAGACATTAAAACACGATTCTGTTTACCTGATCAAGTGACCATTAAAGACTCCATGGCTCTATACAAAAAGGGGAGTTTCTCCAGTGTCCTGGCCAACAATCTTTCAAAAATAAATTGTCCATTCCCTTCCTGGCTGTTAGTGGGACACTGCTGCCACATTTGCCTACAGATATACAATCACTTCACAGCAATTACCTGCAAAACACTTTTTTATGTTTTGATGTACTAGACACTAAATGAAATATAATTTCATTATTATAATAAGAAAATTTCAAAAAATTCTACAGAGGTTATAATCCCTCCAAAGTATTACCCAAGAAATGTGCTGAAAGGTGGATTCTTTTTACTTAGGAGGAAAGGAATATTCATGAATGTAAATCGGTAATTTTACCTCAAGAGCAGCTCGCAGCAACAACCTGGTCCCTCTATTTAATAATAATCCTTGCATTTGATATACCGACAGTACCTTATCACATCAAAGTGATTGTTTATTTGTAGGGAAACTTGGCAGCCAATTTGGACACAGCAAGAACCCACAAATAGCCATGAAATGAATGACCATTTTTTTGTCTGGGAGATTGTTAGCCAGCGCACCGGGAGAAACTCTCCTCTCTTTTCAAGTAGCACAAGCAGACGAGACCTTAATTTAGCGTCTCATCTGAAGGATGGCACCTGCCACAATGTCTATACTGAAACGGTAGTTTTCAGCCCATCCAGAAAGTGTCTTTAGATGCAGGGAGACTGATCGGATCATTAGACGTGAGGATTCTCACCTTCAGCCAAGCGGACCAGGCTCTCGAGCATGCGTATAGTGGTTCTCGCTGCATTCCTGAACCAGCTCTGACGCTGCAGTTGGTAATATTTTACTAGGATTGTATCTGCTTCACTAGATATTCTAGGTTGCAAAGTCTTGATGAGACAGAAGTAAGTTTTCATTTTCTCCATGCTCCACAATTTTTCACTTGTGGTTGGGCAGGCTGTAAATTTTCAGGGAAACAAATTATTTATAACTATTTAAATAATTTATATTTATAATTATTTATCACCATTCATTTGAAACAAAAACTCTTATACTTCATTTGTGAACAACTTGGAAAAAAATATAAAAATGTTATTTAAAGTACATAAAATGCAAATCCAAGAGAGGAAATAATGTTTTAATTCTTAGTGCAAACCTTTGTTTTCTAGGATAAAGGAAGCTATGACTTTGTCCCACTCTTCGTTTTTGGTATCCAAGAGTACTATCACAAGGTCAAATCTGCTCAGCAATGGACTGGCCAGGGCTGTGTTCACAGCAATAGATTCATGAATGTCATATTGGCCTTTTGGATTTGTAGCTGCTAGTACAGTGGTCCTTGTGTTCAACTTGCATACAAGGCTAAAAATACAGGGCAACATTTAAAGATGTGGGTTAACTGGTGATGCAATTTATATGTTCAATCTGTTATAATAATGACAGGAAAATAATATTCTTATAATATGCAGTTCTAAACAGCAGTTTGTCCAACTCTTATGTTCCTATATTAAAACCAATAATACCAAAATATTAAAATATGGTTCAGCCCCATTATAGCAACATTTCATACAATGTTGCTTTGTTTACAACACAAATGGAGTGTTATAGATGTACTACCATTTACTACACTTTGTGCCCAACCAGATGACACGTGTCTCGCAAACCAGCTGATTGCAGGGCTAAAAGAGGCCAACTTCCAGGTCATTAGATCACTGCTAATGTCACTTCCTGCACACTGTACCTGTACTCGAGCAGCACATAGGAAGTGACATCTGCAGCAACCTGATGACTTGGAAGTTGACCTTCTTGTTTAGTGCGGGAAACGTCCAGGGTGCAGGAAGCAACCGTGACAGCTGTGCACATGTACAGTTACACCAGCTATCAGACCTCATTATTAGGCAGGTTGGGATTTTATGGATTTCAACTGCCACCTTATAATGAGGTTCCATTCTGTCAAATAAGTCAGTGAATTTTAGTAAGTTCATATATAAATTTATCATATATAAATTTATATCCTAATTGCCTGGCGCTGTACTAAAATAGCCAACATGAAATTTTAAGGAATAATTATTTGATGTAATTGTATTCATTGTGTTAATGTAGGAACATGCACAATGTTTTGATCAAAAATTAATCATACAACTGGTATCAGACCAGTAGGAAGTATTTTGGACATCCTACAAGTGTTAACTTATTGTTAATAATTTTATTGGTATCAAAACAATTGTATTATTATCTATCACTATACATGATCACTATACATGATTTGTACCTAGGAACAGAAGAAACCATCAGCCCATCAAGAACTGTTTTACAACTTTATAGATCTTTGCATCTTGGGTTTTATTTAAAATTGTTTGAATGATTTTTCTGCAAGGAAACATTGTGACTGCCTGACAATCATGGAAAACTCATCTGACGCCAAACATAACAGTAGTTTCTCACTATACTTAACAGTCCTCACTATGAAACTAATGTCAAGAGCGTGTGAGAATGTCTTACCCTGCCTTTGCCACACTTATAGTCTGCTGCTCCATTGCCTCGTGGATGCTGGCTCTATCATGTTCTTTAATGCTGTTAAATTCATCAATGCAACATAAGCCTCCATCTGCCAGAACCAAGGCTCCTGCCTCCAGATTCCACTCACCAGAGTCCTTCACAGCAGTCACAGTCAAACCTGTGAGAAAAGTGCAGAAAATATTTCACGTCATTCGAATTCACTGTATTGTTCTAGTACTAGGGTCATTATCGATAGAGTTGAGACACTGGATGGGTTAATTTACTGAAATACATGTGAATGTAATGGATCATATGATATGGAATGGACCGCCTTTCTGCTCCCATTATCTGGAATGCTATCCTGGAGTCCCTCCGACTCACTCTCTCAAGGTCAAGGTCCATGTCAAAACCTACCACTTTGACCACGCTTTACCCAGCCTCCCATTTTGTTGGCAAAATGTACAGTCAATGATCTTAAGGCTAAGAACATGACAAATGTCAGGCCTTCATGAAGACATGAAGTGGAGCATTTAGGGGTGAATGAGTTAATATGGAAATGAAAGTAATAAGCAATCTCAGCCATCTGCTGGAATTGGGTGGAATTGTTGCTTATCCAAATTAGATGCACATAGGATGAGATAAGACAGCTCTCAAAATGAGCCTTAAACCTAATATTTCAAAAGTAGAAGTACAGTTATTTATAAAATTGCAGTACAGAATCTGGAATTAGATATTACATATCCAGTGCTGCCCTCGGGTGAGGGTCTTAAGCAAAAAAAGTTCAAAAAAATTGGTATCAAGTTCAAAGGAGCTTACCTATTGACACATTGGTTTTCATTTTATTTAACTTGTTATAAATGATTAGCTTTNAAAAAAACTTAAATAGATGAATGGATGAAATATTCCCCAGCCTGCAAAATAAGATTATGGAGGTCTTAACAGTACTATACCATTATCACTGCTCTGTGTCTGCCAACAAAAGGCAGTTTGATGTACACAGGCATTGTTCGAATATGCTCAAGGCAAAGCAATGTAACTTACAAGAGTTTCACCCATTACTATGGGAGGTGCTTTTGCTGGTGGTGACTCAGACAAAGCTCTTTTCTTTAAGATGGCAACGACTAAAAATTTTACTGTTCAGTTTGCTTTAAAAGCCTCAGTTCACAAGATCACTCAGTCGATCAACCTTGGTCCTTCCAACAAATGATCTCGACGCCATGGGTGATAATGATAATAATAATCCTCACATTTGATATAGTGCTAGATCACATCGTTGCAAAGTGGATTGTATATTTTCTGGATGAATCACGGCAGTCAATTGCACACAGCAACGTCCCATGAACTGTCATGGATTGTGTGACCAAATTTGTGATGCCCCTCAGTTTAGCAAGGCCAAGACAGCTGTGGCTAAACAAGGTCAAAACTAACCTCTAAACTAAAATAAAAATATGAAAAGACATATTGAAATAAAGTTGCAAGTACAGGGATTCATTCAAAAAAGTTGGGAATAACTAAAGCAAGTACTAGAAGAAATATTATAAATTATGGTCATCTTTTCCCGCCCCATCCTGTTTGGTTCACACCAACCAGCATGAGTGCCTCGCCAGCTCTTTGAGACGTCCACCCGATACGAAAGGTGCCATGTAAATGTAAAGTGTGTTGCATTGTAATAAAGTAATCTTCGCATTTATATTCGACCGATTTATCCACTGAATTCTTCACATTACTCTCTCCAAATGAAAAATGTGGACAAGTTTCAGATCGTCACTTCAGGAACGTATCACACACTCAAAGAGAACAGAAAACTATGCGAAGAATTGAGAAGGTGCTGCTCCAATTGTCAATAAATGCAGCAACTCATTGTCAAGTCCACGTCTGCTTTGCCATTAATCATTACATTTACTGGCCTTTCTCCCAGGTTTTCCCAAAGTCTCTCTGTCTCACCCACACACATTTCACGTCTCTCTTAACCTCTCTTTTTGCATGCATGTCTCTGTTATTTTGTAGTGTAACTGTATTAGATTTCTCACTAACTATCAATGCTGGTAAAAGTGCACTTCTCCCCCTGCTGGCTGAAAGTGTGCATGCGCATACTATATGCATTCAATCACAGGTTCTTGCTGAACTGACCTTTACTTTCTAAACTCAGTGTGTTACAGTTAAGTGGAAACATGGTTGTCCGGCATGCAAATGTGGGCCGCTGCTTCAAGTGGGTCCATTCGGAAAGATGGAACCGGGAAAGAATCTGTAGGAGTTATTGATTGTGCGGTAAAAGTCTCGAGTGAACCTGTTATCAACCAAAGTAAATGGAGCAATAAAGGATGCATCTTGAGAACATCTTCAGAGTATTCCATAGTTAAATTCTCACCATAAAGATCACATGGTTGGACCTGATATCCTTGAAATAACATTACTGTGTTGGGGAGAGTTCGACAGGATTTAAGGTTTGAATTTAATAATTATAATAATCCTTGTATTTGATATAGCGCCTCATCACATCTTCGAGTCATCTCAAAGCGTTTCACAGAATATATTGTAAAGTGAATTGACTGTATATTTTGTTGGAGAAAAACGGCAGCCATTTGTACACAACAGTGTTCCACAAACAATCGTGGATTGAGTGACCAAATATATATTTTTTGAAAGTATTATTACCCCCGGAAAGTGATCTACCAATCGACTAACAGCCTGGTTCCTATTTACTGCTAGGTAAACAGCGGCATGTGGAGTAAGAAACTTGCCTAAGATTTCTCCCTAGCCAAGGTTTATAAAAAGAAACCAAAGAACTGAACTTATTTGCAATGAAAGATGGACAAGATGCCGCACCTGTGCAAGTTATATGTTCCTTGTAGTATGAGCACAGAACTCAATGAGCTTTGGTTAAAACCTACCAATGACCAACAATCTATCACCAAACATTTTACTTTTATTTTTAGATAATTATACACCAATTTCAAGATGCTCACGCTCACGTACAAATTACTTCATGCCCTGACCTCTCTGACATGCTCACATCCCACTCCTCTACCCGCCTCCTTCGCTCAGCTGGCTACTGCCTCAACAACATCAACAAGATTCCATTTATAGAGCGCCTTTCACGTCAGGAGGACGACCCAAGGCGCTGTACAGTTGGGTCAGGACCCGAGCAGGGGGGAAATGGTCAGGGTGAGGGGAGGGAAGGGAGGGAGCGAGGAGGGGGTAGAGAGTCAAGAGGGGAGCCGAAGGCTTGGTCATGAGACCGGCCTTGAAGGAGTAAAGGGAGGAGGCAAGGCGAAGGCACTGGAGGATAGAGTTCCAAAGGCTGGGAGGCTGAAGGCCCGGCCACCGATGGTAGGGCGGTTGGGGCGGGGGATGTGGAGCAGACCGGAGCCAGAGGAACGGAGGGTACGAGCAGGTAGGTAGGGGGATAGTAGGTCAGACAGGTAGGAGGGAGCAAGGCCGTGAATGGCCTTGTAGGTGAGGATGAGGATCTTGAAATCGATCCTCTGGGGGATGGGGAGCCAGTGGAGGTGAGCGAGGATGGGAGGGATGTGGTCCCGAAGCCTGGTGCGGGACAGTACACGAGCTGCAGAGTTCTGAATGACCTGCAGCTTGTGGAGGAAGGTGGCGGGAAGGCCGGCGAGGAGAGAATTCCCATAGTCCAGCCTTGAGGTGATAAAGGCGTGGACCAGAGTTTCAGCAGCGTGAGGGGTGAGGTAGTGCCGTAGTCTGGCGATATTCCGGAGGTGATCCTCCTGCACATCCCTCATCTCCTCTGCTGCACCATCGACGGCCCATTACATTAATCCACTATATTTACAGGTTGATTTAATTTCTTGAGATTAACTAACTTCCCAAGTTACATTACATTAATTGCAATAAACCAATTGTGTACCTGCACTGGTGGATCCAATTCCAGCCGTCAATACTGAGCGAGGGACGATTTTTACAGCATATTTAAGAAATTGAGACTTCCCAGTGCCAGGATCTCCTACCAGTAATAGATGGGGTTCTCCTGCAGAACAAAGTAATACATTACTGCTACAGAAGACACACCAGTACTGTACCATCAAGGATGAAACTATTGGGACAAGCATAAATTCAAGTCACAACATAATACTCAAGTAAATCTTGAGCAAAAATATCTAGATATGTCAGAATACAAATTGTCAAAATGGTTCAGTTTAAGAAAGATCTTATTTTAAAAAAATATTGATAGGTCTCAAAACGTGTTGCAGGTAATTACAGGGCAATCTCAGCATAAAATCCCCACCCTCAACTCTACTTCCCCACGCCCACCATCACATTGTTAAAAGCTCTGGTGTTCTGTAGATCTGTGCTAACCAAAAGTTTGTTGTATCCGATTTCAGCACTGACTAGCTATCATCCTGCACTAAAAAATTGCTAATTTCTGCATTGCCAGGTCACTAGTGATGTCACATCCTGTGTGTTGAGAGGGTGAACATGATATGCAGGAAACATTGCTGTGGTCACTTCCTATGGCTAGGAAGTGCTGATAACATCAGTGGCTGAAAAAGTGAAGCAATCAATGTGACAACTCGAAAATTGGCAATTTTTTCATATTTGACACAGCCTCTGAAATATCATATCTAGATGCTATAGCTGAGTTATCTAGTACTGTAAAAGGTTTTATTCCCATTAATTTAAGGAATGCTGTATGAGATGTTCCTTGTATTATTATTCATAAGAACATAAGAATTTGCTGGTGAAAGAAGATCAAGATCCATATAGTTTGCCTTCCACCATCCTGGCAAGCACTTCACATGTCATGTCCCAAACTACATATATTCCTCAGGACTTAAGACCTCATAGTTTTGCCTGTCACTCCAATTCAATGCTTGGTGAGCACCGCATTACTGGAGGTGTCATCCTACAGATAAGAAACTGAGGTTCCATCCGCCTGTTAAAAGCACTATTTGAAAAAAAAGGGTTTCTCCCACTGTTCTGACCAACAATCCCCCAGATGAAATGTGTCATACATTTTACATTTGTTTGTGTGATACCTCCAAATATACAGTCACCCCAGTTACAATAAATCCTATGAAGCATTTTGAGATGTTTTGATGATATAAAAAGACAATATATTAAATTCTATAATTACAACAACAACAACTTGGATTTATATAGTGCCCTCCATGCCGGACGGCGTCTCAGAGCGCTTCACAGTAACGAATCCTGGGGCCGAGCCAGGGGAAGGCGGAGGAAGGTGACCAAAGGCGCGGTCGAAAAGGTCTTCAGCAGAGACCTGAAATAGGAAGAGAGGGGGCGAGGCGAAGGGAGTGAGGAAGGGAGTTCCAGAGCCTCGGGGCATAGTGGCTGAAGGGACGGCTGCCAAGGGTGAAGTGGAGGACTTGGGAGACAAGGAGGAAGCCAGACCTGGAGGAACGCAAGCAACGGGTACTGTTTTGAGGAGAAAGGAGGTCAGAGAGGTAGGGGGGTGCAGGGGAATGGAGGGAGTTGAAGACAAGGGTGAGGATCTTGGTTTTAATTATTATTAAAATAATTATATATAACATAACATTAGATTACTATACTACTTACCTCTAACTTTAGTTCCTGACTGCATCAATTTTCTGCACTCCTCCAGCTAACACCATAGCCACAGCCAGCTTCACTAGATACATGCCAAATACTTGAGGACAGATGCTGGCCAAAATTTCATTTCTCCCTTAAAAAATAAGAACATTAAAGATTTTTTGTGAGACAAGAAGCAGCACGTTATTAACTGACTATGAAGTTTAATAGATACATATGTAATTCACCAACAGTCGAACACAGTTAAAATGAGGTACATGAAGTCCCTAAAACTCCAATAAGCCTTATAAAGGGGACTGATTGCTTGGCAGCACTTCTGCACATTATGTCACCAATCACACAACCATCAACTTGATGACCCAGACACTTTTTTCCCATCTCGTGACTTTTTTTTAAGCATGCAAGAAGCCAGGATCCACATTATAAGTGAACGCAAATTATAATGGAGCTCTATTGTACAAAGCATGCTCTAATGATGCTTTGGAGTCCTGTAGCTCAGTGGTTAGAGCACTCGCTTTGCAAGTGAGAGACCTGAGTTCAATTCCAGGCAGGGCGAAACCTTGGGTAAGTTTCCTTACTCCACACGCCTAATAATAATCCCTCCAAAACCAAAAACAATAATAAATTGGTCATTTTCAATCTACGACTGTTTTATGGGACATTGCTGTGCGCAATTGGCTGCCGCGTTCGCCCACAAATATACAGTCAATTCACTTTACAGTGTGTTCTGTGAAGCGCTTTGGGACGTCCTCCCAACGTGTAAAGCGCTATATCAAATGCAAAGATTATTATTATATTATTGGTTGTACACTACCATAGCTCAGACTAAACATGACTCTTTACATAGTCAATATGCAAAATACTATATGAAGGCATGTTGTCTGGAGTGTATTTACTAGTATGATTCCACAGCACAGCCAAAAGCAACAACATGGATGATTGGAAATCAAAATTAAATTAAAATTAAAGGCTCGGACGGCTTAACATTTCAGATTTGACCGGTTAGCAGTTTTGATGAAATCACACCCACAACAACAACAACAAGATTCCATTTATAGAGCGCCTTTCACGTCTAGAGGACGTCCCAAGGCGCTGTACAGTTGGGTCAGGACCCGAGCAGGGGGGAAATGGTCAGGGTGAGGGGAGGGAAGGGAAGGGAGGGAGCGAGGAGGGGGTAGAGAGTCGAGAGGGGAGCTGAAGACACGGTCAAAGAGAAAGGTCTTGAGACCAGCCTTGAAGGAGGAAAGGGAGGAAGCAAGGCGAAGGCACTGGGGAATAGAGTTCCAGAGCCTAGGGGCTGAGAGGCTGAAGTCCCGGCCACCAATGGTAGGGCGGTTGGGGCGGGGGATGTGGAGCAGACCTGAACCAGAGAAACGGAGGGTACGGGCAGGTAAGTAGGGGGATAGTAGGTCGGAAAGGTAGGAGGGAGCAAGGCCGTGAATGGCCTTGTAGGTGAGGATCTTGAATTCGATCCTCTGGGGGATGGGGAGCCAGTGGAGGCGAGCGAGGGTGGGAGTGATGTGGTCCCGAAGCCTGGTGCGGGACAGCACACGAGCTGCAGAGTTCTGAATGACCTGCAGCTTGTGGAGGGAGGTGCCGGGAAGGCCGGCGAGGAGAGAGTTCCCATAGTCCAGCCTTGAGGTGATAATGGCGTGGACCAGAGTTTCAGCCGCGTGAGGGGTGAGGTAGTGCCGTAGTCTGGCGATATTCCGGAGGTGATGGAAGGCGGTGCCAGTTATGGAGCGGATATGAGGGAGAAAGGACAGCTCAGGGTCGAACAGAACACCAAGGTTCCTGACTGGCTTTGAGAGGTGGAGAGTGCAACAGGCTAACCCAAAATGTTAGCATAACCATAGCTTCCAATAATCTGACTGACTGTTTACTATTTTCATTGCCAACAGAATTCCACAGTTCAGATACAAAGTGCTGGCCTTCTAAGCATCGGAATGAAAATAATTTTTAAAGCTCTCAAATGGTTTTGGCTTCTCTAATTCAGTGAGTATTTCCTGTTGCAATTATTGATCTTATGACATTTTTCTAAGATTTATGTCACAATTATTTTTTCTTTAAAACATTGACTACTTTGTACATTTGTACCTTTAACAGAAAGTTCTGCTGTGATAAGCATCCATTTTCCTTTAGCAAAACTGAGTTAATCATATAATTGCTGACAAAAAATCTATTTAAAACAACATCTGTAATGCATGTAAATTGAAATTGTACCACTGCAGAATGAAAAGTTAGAAGGTTTACAGAGCAGGAACGTATTTCCACACCTGCTAAAGTATCATCTCTGTGCTTTGCCCAGAAATCTTCAAATTCCCTGCAGACATCTTCATCTATAATGACTCCAGTTGGCTGTTCATTATTGACCACTAGGTAATTGGCCTTCAGGACAAGTTCTAGGTCACAACGGACATCAGGAGAGAGAGGTTTCCATCTCTGCATCACCACACCATATACAGTAACATCATCGCCTGTTGTAAAACAAAGCCCTCAGATATTATTTTCAAGCATTTGGCTTCTGGTCATTAACCTGGGAACAATAAGAAACTTTGCACACAAACCTATTCAGGTATTCATAGTTCACAGGCCACAGTAAAATAGTGGGGAATAAAGCACAGCACAATGGACCAAATTGTCTTATTCTGTGCTGTAAACTCTTTCAGATTCGGCAAAAAGATTTCTGTACTGCATTAAAGCTATCAACTGCAAGGCCTGAAATGTGTGATACTAATATGGTGTGCACTTTAGTCTATGTTAAACCTGCAAATTTTTTTCTTGACAAGTGAATTTAATAATCTAAATTTGGGTCTCAGCAATTATATATCTCACAGTGCTTCATATAATTGCTGTAGTGTCACAAGGTTTCCACTTAAATATTAAGTACTTACCTTTAAGTATGGGTCTTCCTTTTAGATTGTTTGTGTTACATTCCCTAGCATTTTTGACATTAACAACATGAAATGTAACATTCTTAGAAACAGGGAAATTCAATATTAGCAAAAAAAGCAAAATATATTTATTAATTTTGTTGGAATATAACAATATAAGGAATTTATAATGGAATATTATTCAGGATTATGTTATGCGAATATGTATAAAATATGTGATTTTATGTTAAATGTTGACAGTCATGGGATTGGACACGTCTGGTTTTCTCTGTTTCTCAAGGAATAACAAGATAGCTTTGGAAAAAGGCAGGAGGTCACTACTTATCAGAAGATAACAACAAGCCCACAGAGGTAACGGTCCAAGGTACTGGTCGACACAGAATCTCAGCTTAGCAATAAGTCTCTAGATTCTGACAGGGCAAAACAACCGAAGGCAACCCTCAAGAATAGCGAACTAACGAACAAGTTATTTAAACTAAAGGACTTTGGTACCATCCCGGGACACTGATAAGAAATAAGCATTCACTTAAAAGAAATGTTCTACATAACAAAATAACGATCCCACAAAACAAAGTAATGAGCACCAGATACAGCCCTAAATCGATCAATTATTTTGGCTTAGACAGGACAAAGGGAAGACCTCGTGGAGACTCAAGTCAGGATGGCACCAAGCCAAATGATTGACTAACCTGAGTTGTGACAGTATCAGAAATGGGTAGAGCGGAAAAGAACACTTGGAAAAAGGCTATAACTAGCCCACCTCTAGGTGAGAACAGGTAGAAGAGCAGGACGACTCAAGAGGGAGATAGTCAGCCCGGGAGCAGAGATCAGAGGGTCACCATAAGTTTGTGAATATATCACTAAGCTGCTCAGGCTCAAGAGAGGAAAGAGGAAGAACTGCTACAGCTGACTCCTTTAAACTGGTAGCATGAGTATTTCTTAACTGTATGTAACCAATGTGTTTTTAATATAATATAATCAAGTATAATCATTCTACTTTGATATAATCATTGCATTCTAGTATTGCTTATTGGATCATTTACTTTTCTTTGTATTGTATGATTGATATTACCTGTTGGGTATTGAAATAAAACATTCAAAGGTGTGTCACGCCATATTTGGTATTTGTCGAGTCTTCTGATCGAACCCGGGATTCATTTTTCCCAACAATTTACACTCCAATGACTGATAATATATTGGGAGAAATTCCCCAAGTCTTGATTTACAGTATTTATGTAGCCTCTCAGAGTATCCAAAATTTAAAGATAAAAAATCCTGTGCATACTTTAGTCACGTTCTATAACACTATCTCTGGGAGATGTGTCTAAGGGGGCGATAGCAGAAAGTGATGTGGATTGTTTGTTAAAGTTATCTCGGGGCATGTTATAGATGTAAATGTAATAAGTTTTCATAAGTTACCAGACTTGCAGGTGTCCACAAGGTCATCTTCCAGTACAACTAATAAAGATCGAGGTATGCTTCCCACTGTCAGCCTTTGAACCTAGAGATTGAAACAGGAATAGTGCGTAAGCAATATTGCACATGGCCATTCTGTACAACAGCAAGAAAACAGTATGTTGTCTTTCTAAGCTCTGAGATGCTACTCTTGTGAAGGGCACTATGTAAATGCAAGTTCTTGTTGTTATATATAAATGCAAGTTCTCATTGTCCCTACCGTTGTTAAACATGGCAAGCATTTGGGAGGCTGGTTAGCACAATGAGTTGGAACTCTTTCCTCTCTAATACTTATCTAGACTGATTGGATGAAACAAAATTCTCCCCTTCCCCAACCCATCAATGTTTCAAAGATCATAGAATCATAAAACCATAGAAATTTACAGTACCCAAGGAAGCTATCTGGCCCATCAAGTCTGCACAGACCTCTCAGAGCAACATGTTCAGTCAATCCCACTGCCCTGCCTTATACGCATACTCCTTCAGCCTCCATTCTTCCACAATGAATGCTGCCTCTATCATCTTACTTGACAGGGCATTCCACATCTCTCAGAGTAAAAAAGTTTTGCCTAGGCATAAGCAAACACATTAGAGCACGCTAAACCCAGTTGCTAGTGAACTGAAATCTAACAGAACCAGTGAAGTTAGGAGCGAAGGCACACTTTCAAGACACTGCAGAGGGAGCTTTGCCCATAGTATACTCATAATACAAAAGTGCTTTGATGCCGATATTGAAAAAAATGTTGCATTATCCTGGGAACCAGAATATCTGGTGTGAAGTAAAATCTGGGTGTAAAAGATAACTTATTGTGAAGGGAAAGGAAGAAATTGTGCTCTTTATGAATAAAAAGCATATATATCCCTCCCCTGGTCATTCTATGACTGGCAGGCAATCTACTCTCGAAGTACTCACAGCACAGCTAGTATGGGCTGCCAGAGAGATGCAAGAGCCAGCAAGCTAATTCACCTCTGTAGAGAAACACCAGTTTTGCTCAGCACCTCCTCCTGAACATCTGGCTTAGAACTAGATATGGGGAACAGCTGTAAAGCCACACCCTATCATTCCATGGCACAATGCATTGAAGTACCTCTCAGCAGCCTCACTGTCATCGCTTTGTAACTCTGCTGAAACTCTTTAATACTTTAGATCTCTTTTGGTTCCTTGTTTAAAATGAGATTTCACTTTACGTCTTAATTCTAATCCAGAAATATTTGCTTCAAACTAAATGTAGAACCAGATTTGCTTTTAAAACTTCATCCTTGTATTTCCAATTGAGACCTTATCTCTCTAATAGCTCAATGTGTGGGTCGCAGAACAAAGCAGACCAAGAAAGCTTTCTGTCCACATTTATGTTAAGTGAACCAGAGTATAGTTCAAGCACTTTGAGAGGACCTCCTGATATGAAAGGTGCTATACAAATGTAAATTGTATTGTAATTACATTGTATAATTGGCCGCAGATTAGGGAAGAAAAGACATCTTGAATTCACCCCAGGAAGCAGGTAATGCCTTCAGAAGAGGAAGACATGAGAAGGTCAGTGAGAAACATTTACTGCACTTAAGTAAATATTTAGAATATTCAAATTTTGTTTTGGTTAATATTCAGGAGACATACAGTACGATAAAACTAAAACGCAATATCTTTATAATCAATCACCTGTTCCTGAATTTTTATTTCTTGGTAATCTTTACATCTTGAAGGGGCTGACGAAGATCCCGACAGACATGTGAATTTGGTCGAGTTGCAGTCGTCTTCATTGGGACAGGATGTAGGACGGCAGAAAGTATAAAACTGTTCAAAGTCTGCATATACCGGGAAGACGTGTCGGCACTTGTTGCACATGTATTCATGCTCAAATTCGAGTACCTTCACCATCCCAGTGCGTATAACCGTCCCCATGACTGAAAGGAAATGACCCACATCTCTCGTTTTCGGAATATGATCCCTTGTCAGTTCAGGACAAATCGGTAAACCTGAAGTATGAAGAGAAACAATTCAGGCTATTTCAATGATCTCTTGAATACCATTACCACCGAGAGGTAACAATAGCATTGAAATCAGTGCCGGGTGGACTGATGTTGTGATTGAAAACATTGTTGGAGGTGTTAGTGGGAGGGGAAAAGAGAGCATCTGTCTTTGGCACATTTCAGTAAGTCATGTTCCATACTTTCTAAATACAGACTGCAAGATAAACCCCAATGAATATTGTGCAGTGAAACAAAAATGCAGTATTTGTTTTTAAAAGCATTCATAAAACAAAGCAAAGGGATTTCTAAGTATGGAAAATATTTGCCGTCATATTTAACAACAATAAGGTTGTGCGAATTGCTCCTGATAATGGAATACATTGATGATGATAATAATAATATGAAAACTATTAGAAAAATAAATGTTTCCATTATTAAGGGAGCAATCAAGATCAATGTAGCTAAATACTATATATTCACTAGGCAATTTATAAACACTTTGATACTGAAGTAAAGATCAACTGATATGAGCATCAACCAGCAAAAGGGACATCAAAGATTAACATCACATTAATTTGTGACTCACAAGTACATACAGATAGAACAATATTCTGTAACAAACCAAATATTATCATAAATAGCCTAATATGGCCTGCTTCACATCCCCGCCTCGCTCGTCCCACTATTGGCGGGTGGGCTTTCTGCCCCTCTACCCCCACACTCTGGAACTCCATCCCACAGTCCCTCCACCTTCGCCCCCTCCCTCACCACCTTCAAGGCCCATCTTGAGACCCTCCTCTTCGACCGTGCTTTCGATCTCCCTGCTTCCCCCCCTGCCCTCCACCCTCCCCAATTCCAATCCCCAGCTCGGGTCTGAAACTCTGTCTGTCCAGTGCCTTGGGACTTCCTAATACAAATGTAATTTTGTTGTTGTTGTAAATTGTGTATGGAATATTATTGATGTGACTACCCAAGTCATTAAAATGTAAGAAATAAGGAACTAGAGAAGATCAGGAAATATATTGATTTACAAATTGAAATGCAGATATAGATGACAGTATAAAACAAACATAATTCCTATAATCATCGGTGCAACTGGGTCTGTTCAGAAATGGTTTGACAACATATCTGGTGAATAAAGTATCAACCTCCTGCAAAAAGTAGCTATTTTAAGAAGTTCAAACGTACTAAGAAAAGTAACATCCATTCATATGATAGTGACAGTGTTATTGGTCTGGGTGACTAATAATATAATAACAATCCTAGCATTTATTTTGGTATCTTTTGACTTGGGAGGAGAGGGGGGGAGAGACGTCTCAAAGAGCTTCACAGGATTTACTGAAAAGTGCAGGCTAAAAGTGATTACCTATCAGAAAAACAGACCAAAATAAAATTTAAAGTTATCCATCTCTTCAGATACTATTTTATAGAGCAGCTGCACGATCATTAAAATCCAGAAATTGCTTGCCATGAAATAGTCCAGGCTGACATTCCAATATAGTGCTGGGGGATTGTTGCGTTGTCAGAAGACGAATAATAAAATAGTTCAATGACTGGGTTAACCACCTTAACATAGCATAAAAATGAGAATCAACTTGCGAGAACTCAGCATGAATACAAAATAACCCTTGAGCTGAGCTCTTTCAGGTTGGTGCAACTCATATGAGGCTCTCTATGGGAGATTCAAAGTGCTTTCTCTGCTGTGAGGTACCATTAAAACTTCTGGTATCTCATTGAATACCTTTTAAAAACTACACTGTATTTTCTGTGTCCATCAGAATGGAGATTACTGACAACCTGGAATTTTTGCTGCACTTTTTACTAATTAGTTTGTGATTAGCTGCATAAAGTGCGAAAGTTTTATTAGGTCATCTGTGCAATGCTAATTCTCCACTGATAACAACTCTTCCCATTTCCTTCATTTAGGAAACGGAAGAATGGATTTGAGATTTTAGCACAAACTGAAGTGTTATTAATTCTGGACTTGCTCCCATGTAAAATTTGGAATGTACCAAACTAGGTCAACCTACACTTTTCATAACCGAAGTCAGAAAAGATTACAATCTTGATAAAAATGTGTAAGGTTTAACCCACTGACCTGAAATTCTGGCGTGAAGATTTTGTTTTGTGACCAAATTATTTGGCTCTGGATAAGCCTGCAAAATTGTCATTGATGCTCTTCTCAGTGCATTGTCAAATATAGGAAGGATTTCATTAGGAAATGCATTTAGGTATTCACCGATCTCCATATTGATTTCGAACAGGGTCATTGCATTCACCACAATGGGATAATGAGCTCCGCTGTCAGGTCCCTGCAGAATGTGGACAATGTCATGTTTGTGGTGTTCCTGGACATAAGACTCAAATACCTGCCCGATTAGGGCAACTTGTTCTGTATTCAAGAACATTCTTCCTGTGGGGAAAACAAAGAAGGTAAAGAGATTTTTGAGTGACATCTTAATCAACTGTCTACAGATAGCAAAGGCGCCTTGGGAAGTCCTTTGTGAAACCGCTATACAAATGTAATCTTGTTGTTGTTGTAGTAAAACGAGACACAAAATATAAAGTCAATTCACTTTACAGCATAACCAAAGGCAAAGTTCTGCAGATGCTGGAAATCTGTTATTAAAGCTGAAGCCGCTGAGAACGCACAGCAGATCAGGCAACAACAGCAACAACAAGATAGTGTCTTTCACGTCGGGAAGACGTCCTAAGGCGCTGGACAGTGTACAGCATTTCTGACCCGAGCTGGAGTGAGAGGGGGAGGAGGGAGGGGAGGGGAAGGGCGGGTGGCCGATGGCATGCTCCAACATCCATGGAGAGAGGAAATGAATTAACGTTTCAGGTCAATGACCTTTCGTCAGTACTCACTTTACAGCATGTTCTGTGAAGAGCCTCGAGACGTCTCAACAACATGATCAAATGCTATATCAAATGCAAGGATTGTTTTCACTATTACCCTATATTTTTCCTTTTTAGATGTTTACCAATTCCCTAAAAGCGCTAATATGGATTGTTCCTCACCCACGTATTCCAGATCCTAACAACCCTCTGTGTTCAAAAAACATTTTCCTAACCTCTTCTTTTTCAACAATTATTTTAAAATATTAAGCATCTAAGATGAAGAAGTTGCTGCCATCATTGGTACCTTCAGGTTAACCCCATTATAACACCATGTCTGTCTTCTGTTCGTAAAATGAGACACCATGTTTTAACCAGTTTGCAAAAAAAAATTGTTCTGCTCCCAATAATGTAATTGTTGACATTTCTTCTGGCTTTTCAGCACAGACTGGCTGGCATCCCGAGGATGCACATTGCATGCATAAAGCCAACAGGTCAGTTGGGTCTCTGACCAGCTGGCTTCCTGCATGTTGTACCCGATGTTATCACAATCATGCGTCTACAAGACACTCGTTAAAAGCAAACTTGCGACGTGTCCTACAACACGGTTACCCTGTATTCCTAATAAATAACTGTTTCGCACCATGAGCCCTACTCCGCTACAGTGATTGGAAGGTCCATAAAATCCAAACCCGCAATTATGAAGCAGCGTTGTCTTTTTTTATTACATGGCCTTTCCACCTGCGTTGGGCGCGTTCCCAGAGAGCCAACTCACTTTAAAACGGCGGCTGGATCTCGCATGCTGGAAAACGACTCGCTTCCAGGTGCGCGTGGTCACAACAGCGACTCCAGACAGTGCCACCACGGAAGGAGTCCTGTAGCTCAGTGGTTAGAGCACTCGCTTTGCAAGTGAGAGACCCGAGTTCAATTCCAGGCAGGGCGAAACCTTGGGCAAGTTTCCTTACTCCACACACCTAATAATAATCCCTCCAAAACCAAAAACAATAATAAATTGGTCATTTTCAATCCATGACTGTTTGTGGGACATTGCTGTGCGCAATTGGCTGCCGCGTTCGCCCACAAATATACAGTCAATTCACTTTACAGTGTGTTCTGTGAAGCGCTTTGGGACGTCCTCCAAGGATTATTATTATTATTATTATTATTAAGGTGGGGGCGGGAGGGAGGGCGGGAGGGGGGGAGGGCGGGGCTGGGCCTCACAGTCTCTCGGTGACGTCACGGCCAGTGCGGGCAGTCCCTCGGTGACGTCACGGGCAGTGCGGGCAGTCCCTCGGTGACGTCACGGCCAGTGCGGGCAGTCCCTCGGTGACGTCACGGCCAGTGCGGGCAGTCCCTCGGTGACGTCACGGCCAGTGCAGTGAGCTCGGGATGGCGGCCGCGGTGGTGGGAGCGGCTGCCAACGGGAAGGAGCGTAACCCGCCCGCGGCTGTGAGGAGAGGAGAGGAGCGGCGGCGGCGGCGGCGCCCGCGGGGGGGCGGGTCTGAGGTCGGTGTCTGACAGGTTTGTGTCCCCGGTGTTGTTGAGGGGAGAGAGAGAGAGAGAGAGAGGAGGGGCTGTGCAGACCATGTGCTGGACTTACCCGCACCCTGAGCTCCTCTCAGGAAGCCTCACCCCGGGGGGGAGGGAGGGGAGGGGTGGGGGGGCTTTCACTTCATCCTCTGCCCTTTCCCTTCCGCCATCAGGAAATCCCGCCGCGGTAACGCTCGGTCAGTGCACAAACTCAGAGAGAGAGAGAGAGTGTGTGTGTGTGTGTGTGTGGTTCCGGCTCAGCAGCGACACTGAGCAGCGCGGCCGGAGATGACACTACAACAACAACAACAAGATTCCATTTATAAAGCGCCTTTCACGTCAGGAGGACGTCCCAAGGCGCTGCACAGTTGGGTCAGGACCCGAGCAGGGGGGAAATGGTCAGGGTGAGGGGAGGGAAGGGAGGGAGCGAGGAGGGGGGAAATGGTCAGGGTGAGGGGAGGGAAGGGAGGGAGAGAGGAGGGGGGAAATGGTCAGGGTGAGGGGAGGGAAGGGAGGGAGCAAGGAGGGGGGAAATGGTCAGGGTGAGGGGAGGGAAGGGAGGGAGCGAGGAGGGGGAAGAGAGTCGAGAGGGGAGCTGAAGGCTCGGTCAAAGAGAAAGCTTTTGAGACCGACCTTGAAGGAGGAAAGGGAGGAGGCGGCGAAGGCACTGGGGGATGGAGTTCCAGAGCCTCGGGGCTGAGAGGCTGAAGGCCCAACCACCGATAGTAGGCCGGTTGGGGCGGGGGACGTGGAGCAGACCGGAGCCAGAGGAACGGGCTACAATGTTAGCCCAAATAATAATAATAATAATAATCCTTGCATTTGATATAGCGCTTTTCACGTCGGGAGGACGTCCCAAAGCGCTTCACAGAATACACTGTAAAGTGAATTGACTTTGTATATTTGTGGGCGAACGCGGAAGCCCAACATTAGCCCCAATGTACCAACACCTCCGCAATATTACAAGACTCCGTCGCTGCCTCACCCCTCAGGCTGCTGAAACCCTCACCCACGCATTTGTCACCTCAAGGCGCGATTATGGAAACTCCCTCCTCATCGGCCTTCCCAACTCTTCCCTTCACAAGCTGCAGATCATCCAAAACTCTGCAGCTCGTGTCCTCTCACACACCAGGCTCCGCAACCCCATCACTCCCACCCTCACCCGACCACTGCTCCCCATCCCCACAGAGGATCGAGTTCAAGATCCTCAACCTCACTTTCAAGGCCATTCATGGCCTTACCCCCTCCTACCTCTCTGACCTGCTGACTCCATACCAACCTGCCCACTCCCTCCGTTCAGCGGGCTCCAGTCTGCTCCATGTCTCCCGCCCAACCTGCCCTACCATCGGTGGCCGGGGTTTCAGGCTCTCTTCCCCCACACTCTGGAACTCCATCCCACGGTCCCTTCGCCTCACTTCCTCCTTTGCATCCTTCAAGGCCGGTCTCAAGACCCTTCTCTTCGATCGTGCCTTTGGTCTCCCTCCCACCTCTCCGCCTTCCCTCACCCCTACACCACCCCTCCCCCATGCTCGGGCCCCGACACCTGACTGTTCACCGCTTTGGGACATCCTCCCGACGTGAAAGGCGCTCTATAAATGTAATTTTGTTGTTGTTGTTAACTAGTGCTGTGGGGAAAGGTTTAAACTAATTTCAAGGGAGGAAGAGAATCAGGATGTAGCATCAGAGAGGACAAACAAGTTATACAGAGGGCTGGGAGAGACGAATAGCAATGTAATCAGGAGTAATCCAGAAAAAGGAGGGATTAGATGGGGGAGAATTGCAGAATAGACTAAATCGGACTTGGAGTGCATGTCCGTAATTGCATGGAGTGTGACAAATAAGATTGGTGAGCTGCAGGCCCAAGTTGCCACATGGGGTTATGATGTAGTGGCAATAACGGAGACCTGGCTCAAACAAGGGCAGCAATGGGAACTAAATATTCCTGGCTACAATGTATTCAGGAGGGATAGTGAAGGAAAAAAAGGATGGGCGGGGAGTGGCAATATTGATTAAAGACACGGTTATGGCCCTGGAAAGAGACAATGTGCTAGAGGGTCCAAAAACAGAATCTATTTGGTTAGAGTTAAGGAGCAGGAAAGGAGCTATTACTCTGTTAGGTGTATACTATTGACCACCAAATAGTAGGAAGGAGATAGATGAGCAAATCTGCAAGCAGATTTCAGAAAGATGCAAAACCAATAGAGTAGTGATAATGGGAGACTTCAATTATTCGAACATAGACTGGCAAAATAGCAGTGTAAAGGGCAAGGAGGGGGAAGGATTTCTGAAATGTGTGCGGAAGGAAGCAGTGGATCTACTTCTGGCGAATGAAGTGGGGTAAGTGGAGCAGGTTTCAGTAGGAGAGCACCTGGAAACAGTGATCACCACATCACTAGGTTTAGAGTACTAATGGAAAAGGACAAGGAGCAATCAAACAACATCAAGAACAACAAAATTACATTTATAAGCTCTTTCACGTCGGGAAGATGTCCCAAGGAGCTGGACAGTCAGGGGTCAGGACCCGAGCATGGGGGAGGGGTGGGGTACGGGTGAGAGAAAGCAGAGAGGTGGGAGGGCGACCGAAGGCACGATCAAAGAGGAGGGTCTTGAGACCAGCCTTGAAGGAGAAAAGGGAGGAAGCAAGGCGAAGGGACTATAACATAACATGTAGGAGCAGGATTTGGCCATTCGGCCCTTCGAGCCTGCCCCGCCATTCAATCATGGCTGATCTTCTAATCTAACTCCAGCTAATAACCTGACCTGCCTTATCCCCATATCCTTTAATCCCTTTTGCAATAAGAAATCTATCTCAGTCTTGAATATGTTCAAGGGCTGAGCGTCAACAGCCCTTTGGGGTAGTGAGTTCCATACATTCACCACCCTTTGAGTGAAGAAGTTCTTTCTCAACTCAGTGTGAAAGGGCTGGCCTCTGGTTTTAGTTTCTCCAACCAGGGGAAACAATCTCCCACTATCTACTCTATCGTGGAGTCCTGTAGCTCAGTGATTAGAGCACTCGCTTTGCCAGTGAGAGACCTGAGTTCAATTCCAGGCAGGGCAAAGCCTTGGGCAAGTTTTCTTACTCCACACACCTAATAATAATCCCTCCAAAAACCAAAACAATAATAAATTGGTCATTTTCAATCTACGACTGTTTGTGGGACATTGCTGTGCGCAATTGGCTGCCGCGTTCGCCTCAATTCTGTGAAGCGCTTTGGGACATCCTCCCGATGTGAAAAGCGCTATATCAAATACAAGGATTATTATTATTTTTATCATGCCCTTTGATGATATAGCTTTCTATAAGATCCCCTCTAATTCGTCTATATTCTAGAGAATATAGTCCCAAATTGGTCAGCCTATCCTCGTAACATGGGATGAAGTTCTAAAGTGTGGGGCAGAGAGGCTGAAAGCCCGGCCACTGATGGTAGGGCGAGTCAGGCAGGAGACATGGAGCAGGCCGGAGCCTGCTGAACGTTGGGAGCGGGCAGGTTGGTAGGGAGTCAACAGGTCAAAGGTGAAGATAGTAAACTGGAAAAGGGCTAATTTCAGTGAGTTAAAAAGGGACCTTGCCAAGGTGGACTGGAAAAGATTAGCAGGTAAAATAGCTAATGAGCAATGGGAAGCCTTCAAGGAGGAGATAGTTTGGGGACAGAATCAGTACATTTCCACAAAAAGGAAAGGTCGAGCATCCAAAACCCCCTGGATGAATAAGGAAATTGGGATTAAAATAGAACAGAAAAAGGAGGCTTATGATAAATGTCAGGTCCAAAATGCAGAAGACAATTAAATAGAATATAGAAAGTGCAGAGGAGAACGGAAAAAGGAAATAAGAGGGGCAAAGAGATTGTATGAGAAAAGATTAGCGGGTAACATAAAAGGAAACCCTAAAGTATTTTATAAGCGTATAAAGAATAAAAGGTTAGTAAAAGGTAGGGTGGGTCCATTTAGGGACCAAAGAGGAAATGTTCTTGTGGAGGCAGAGGGCATGGCCTGATGTACTGAATGAGTACTTTGCATCTGTCTTCACAAAAGAAGAGGATTGCCGCCAATGCCACAGTGTTGGAGGAGAGGATAGAGAAATTGGATAAGATAAGAATAAACCGAGAGACGTTACTAAAACGTTTGTTGGTGCTCAGGGTAGATAAGTCACCCAGTCCGGATAGAATGCATCCTAGGGTACTGAGGGAAGTAAGGGTGGAAATAACGGAGGCTCTGGCCACAGTCTTTCAATCCTCCTTGGACACTGGGGTGGTGCCAGAGGACTGGAGGGTTGCAAATATTACTCCCCTGTAGAAAAAGAGGCAGAAGGATAAACCTGGGAACTACAGGCCAGTCAGCCTAAAGTCAGTAGTGGGTAAACTTCTAAAGACTATACTCCAGGACAAAATAAATTTTCACTTAGAAACATATGGGTTGATAAAGGACAGCCAACATGGATTTGTTAAAGGTAAATCATGTCTAACAAACTTGATAGAGTTTTTTGATGAAGTAACGGACAGGGTGGATGAAGATAGTGCAGTTGATCTAATTGATGGATTTTCAAAAAGCGTTTGATAAAGTGCCACACAAGAGACTTGTAAGCAAAATGGAAGCCCTCAGTATTACAGGGACAGTGGCAGCATGGATACAGAACTGGCTGGGAGACAGAAAGCAGAGAGTGGTGGCGAATGGTTGTTTTTCTGACCGGAGGGAAGTGTGCAGTGGTGTCCCCCAGAGGTTGGTATTAGGACCACTGCTGGTTTTGATCCATATAAATGACCTGAACTTGGGTTTAGGGAGTACAATTTCCAAGTTTGCAGATGATACTGCTCGGAAAAGTAGTAAACAGTGAGGAGGATAGTAGCAGACTGCAAGAGGACATACACAAACTGGTAAAATAGTCAGACAAGTGGCAGATGACGTTTAATGTGGAGAAATGTGAGGTGACGCATTTTGGAAGGAAAAATGAGGAGAGGCAATATAAGCTGATGGTACAATTTTAAAGGGGGTGGAGGAACAATGGGACCTTGGGGTTCATATAATTAAATCAAAAGAGATTTACCTGGATGGTACCAGGAATGAGGGACTTCAGTTATAAGGAAAGGTTAGAGAAGATGGGATTATTCTCCTTGGAGCAGAGAAGGTTAAGAGGAGACTTAATAGAAGTTTTCAAAATCGTGATGGGATTCGATAGGGCGAACAAGGAGAAACTATTTCCACTGGCGGGTGGGTTGGTAACTCGAGGACATTGATTTAAAATAGTTGTTGAAAGAAACAGGGGAGGTGAGAAGAATGTTTTCACACAGTGAGTTGTTTGGATCTGGAACTGGCTCCAAGGTGACATGCCTGGGGCAGTCTCGGTAGTCCGGTTCCTGAACCAGGCGGGTACACAGTATTCCAGGCACTGCTGATGATGGCACAGCAAACCAAGCTTATCAGTAGGACCTGGAAAGGTAGACCAGTCGCTGGGGGCAGGGAGTCATCCCACTCGGCTCTTGTTAACCAGGCAAGCCAAAGCTCAAACGGGTAGGGGTCCTAGATGGACAAGCAATGGAAAGCTTGCCAGACAGTGATACCAATGGCAAGTTATGTAGTTTTAGCTGGTTGGAATCCAGCAGTTCCCCAACGCACATTCTGGGGTCCCCAAGACTTGGCTCTTGCCAACCTGCAGCTAATACTTTCTGGAATTATGTAAACAGGATGTCTACCTCCAGGGAGAGAGTGCGTATTCCATTCCAACAATCTATCTCTAAGATTTCCGTATGAAGGTGGGATGCATGAAAATCTCAGTTTGATTTGGATACTCTTAAGTAGGGTGATGGGTTTCCACATGTGTCAGGTACCTGGCTGACTTAAAAAAAATCTGACTTGAGTAAGTACAGCAGCAACAAAATTACATTTGTAAAGTGCCTTTCACATCGGAGGACGTCCCAAGGCGCTGGACAGATAGAGTTACGGACCCGAGCTTGGGATTGGGATCGGGGAGGGTGGAGGGCAGGGGGGGACGCAGGGAGATCGAAAGCACAGTCGAAGAGGAGGGTCTTGAGATGGGTCTTGCAGGTGGCGAGGGAAGGGGACAAGGTGGAGGGACTGCGGGATGGAGTTCCAGAGGGTGGGGGCAGAGTGGCGGAAGGCTCACCCGCCAATAGTGGAGTGAGCGAGGCGAGGGATGTGAAGCAGGGCAGAGTCCGCTGCGCAGAGGGAGCGAGCAGGATGGGGGGGGGTTAGGAGGTCGCAGAGGTAGGGGGGAGCAAGACTGTGGAGGGTTTTGAAGGTGAGGACCAGGATCTTGAACTATATCCTCTGTGTGATGGGAAGCCAATGGAGTTGGGCGAGGATGGGGGTGATAGGGTTGCGGAGCCTAGTGCAGGAGAGGACACGGGCTGCGGGGTTCTGAATGATCTGCAGCCTATGGAGGGAGGAGTTGGGGAGGCCGACAAGCAATGAATTTGCATAGTCGAGCCGCGATGTAATGAAAGTGTGTATGAGGGTTTCGGCAGCCTGCGGTGTGAGACAGTGGTGGAGCCGGGCAACGTGGGGGAAGGCAGAGCAGGTCATGGCGCAGATGTGGGGTAGAAAGGATAGTTGAGGTAGAACAGGTAGGACTTTTGAAGTAGAACTGAGATACCCAAATGAAGGATGTCTATTTGAAGGTTATAAAGAGTGAACGATATAAAAATGGAAAAAAACGACATTATCCAAATAAGTCAAAACAATGCTTTTAAAGAGATTACAGACACATGGTGCAGGATTACAGAATTGCAGAGAATTGAAGCATAGGTTAAGTGGATTTTCTCAACACAACAATTCTAGAATGCAAATAGCAGCTTTAGGCTCCTAAAACAGAACAATTATGCATATTTTAGCATTACTTGTTTGGGCATTTGGCAGGAATGTCCTTTCCATCCCTTGCTTCATCAGGATATGATTTAAAAATGTTTATTGTGAATAGTTGCTGATTTTTCATCTTTTAACTATAGGGATAATAGAAAGGTCAATCATCTCAATATGAACTAATTGATTGTATTCAAAATCACAATCATTCTTTTGAAGTTGAAATGAGCAACATCACAATAGAACTGCTCACATTTAATAGACATCAGAAGAATAATAAATGATCCATGAGGCTTTTGAGCATGACTGGCTTCAGTAATTACAAGAAAATGAGGCAGGCTTTGCAATCGATTTGTTATAACTTGCAATACGCTGTATTCTAATATGGATGCTATTTTGTGACTGAAATATGCTTGATTACATCCTTGCTGATAATTCTGAAATTTATTTATATCCATCCTTTGGCTTCTGTGTGATCTGGAAATCATTAACAATTTTTCTGGGTTCTGCATGCTCTCTCCATACATGTCACTGAGGTCTAACCACTTTTGTGCATTCCTGATTGATGGCTTTTTCAGACGTCGCAAGATTTGCTTGCAAGTTCTGGAGATACAGTATAGTCCAAAGAGTCGTTCCCAACATTTGAGCTTACGTAATTTTTTACTGTTGGTTTGATCTGAACATGAAAAATATGGAAGTCTTCTCTCATTGTGCATCTCCGTGTAGGAAGAGTAGCCACCAAGGTTAATTAGAGATTTAGAGTGAGCTAATAGAATATGGAGAGACATGCTAGAGTCCAATGGAATATTAGCAATAGCCTCTTCATGATACTTGTGCTGAGAAAGTCTTTGGGAACTTTTACAGGTTACCATTTGTTCATCGTTTAACCATGAAACATTTGGAGTCACTGTTTCAATGTACCTATTATTCACAAAGTGATCAACAGGGACATCATTCTCTAGAATGCATCCAAACATACTTTTATGATCGTAGATATTATGGTCCAAATCCTGTATTGTTTCTTCATAATACCTCAACATTTGTGTTTCTTCATTATATGTGCTGTGTCTGATATTATCATCATCAAGGATACAGTGGTCCATTTTTATAACTGGTTCATTAATGGAAGTAGTATTGAATTTGGTGTCCCATATTTTAGGAATTTTCTCTCTTTCATTAACGGTAGTTCCATTTCTGGAAATGTTAAACTTGGACTCTCTTAACAGCTTGTCCTTCTGGTCAAGTGTCTGCTGGTTTGAAAAATATGTTTTGGTTCTTCCCAGTTTTTCCACTGGATCAATGTGATTCATGTTGCCATCAGTAGTTGGCTGCCAAGACTTTTTAGCTGACATTGTTGTGCCGTAAGAATCGGGAGCCTTGAGGTCAATCTCACTCTTAGATCGCATATAGCTCATAAACCCATTCGAAGGGCCGTATTCCTTCTTTGTTAAATTGTGTGTATCTATCACTGTGGAGTAGATGTCGTGCAGATTAATAATCTTGGATTTCTTGTCTCTGGCTTCATGAAGGACAGCATTGGCACAGATAAAGAGAAATAACCCAATCCCCATCATAAGCGGTCCCAAAACCTTTAATTTGTCGGAATGCAAGTAGCTTGCTAAAACATCAGAAATAATCTGTAGAATTGAAGTTTCATTGTGAGAAATGTTGGTGGTGGTGTTATTTGGTGCTTCAAAAATCTCATTGGATGTAGGCCAATAGCCCATTATTACCATTGTAATCCCTAACAACAGTACCAGAATTCCAAAGGAGGAAACCAACCCTGAAAAGGAACATAGCTTCAATTTGGCTTTCACCATCACAACATCATTCTTGCATTTGTTTCGACTCTTCCTGGTATTATAATTGCTCGAGCTGCCGGCTGAAATGTGAAGAAGACTTCCTCCCGTTGCTATCATGATAGATTCACTGGTCGGCTACTTCTGAAACAAAGCAAGATAAAATGCGAATTAACAGATTATGAATGTGTGCAGGCTGGAAAAGGCAACTCAGAAACACATGACCGAAGGGACCTGAGGGCCATTGTAATCTATGTCTGTTCTCACAATAATTCCTGTTACCATGCAACTAAAATGTGATTCACTTGTGACTCCTCATGTTCGTAGATAAAGATATCCAGTGAGGACTAATTTACTTTGGGTTATGAGGCCCGAAGGATTTAAGTTTTCCCTGTATCTGTGTTATCCGTAACTTGTTTTTTAGATAACTTGAAATATGTTACCATAACATTAAATGGATTGTGTATATTTTTAATACACTGTATCCATCTTGCCTACCTTACACAGATTTTTATTAGTAAATATCTAGTGGGGTCCAAAACATTGCAGAAAGAAAATTAGGATTTAACTGTCACTGAAATTATTATGACCCAAGCTTAATTTAGTATTCCTCATTTCATTCTTCTGGAACATCTACCCTACTGTCCTCCCTTCACAGCATCAAGCCGCTTTTTAAACAAGTCCAGTGAACTGGCTTCAACTACCCTTCTTAGCAACCTATTCCAGTCATGTGTAACCTCTGAGTATCTGCTCTGAAATTTCGCTTTGCATCCCTAAACCTGTGTCTTCTTGTTCTACAACCTTATAATAAATAATCCTTGCTTTTGATATAGTGCCTCATAACGTCATAGATATGCTGTAAAGTGCTATGACTGTGTATTTTTTGTGTGACCAAGTGCAGTAGCGGTTGATGCGCACAATTTGTGCGCATCAATATTCCAGAAACATGAATTACCTTGGTTAATCCTAAAGTATCGATCTGGATTTATTTTCTCAATCCCATTTAAAATATGATATAGCTCTCTGAGGACCCCTCTGAGTTGCCTTCTCTGAAGACGAGCCTTAGCTTGTTTAATCGTTGCTCATAGCTGATTCATCTAACATGGGAATCATCCTCATAGCTCTCTTCTGCACTGCCTCTGGTCTAGGTAGCTTCCTTAGGTCGTGGTGAACAGAACTATATGCAGTTCTCTAGGTGTGGCCTAACCAGAATACTGTACAGCCTGAGTAGCACATCTGGGGTTCTATGGATTTTTTTTATCATATCCACTTAATATAATTAGCATTAACTCTAAGATATAAACCATAGAAGTTTACATAACAGAAGAAGGCCATTCAGCCCATCATGTCAGTGGTGGCTCTTTTGAGAACAATCCATTTCTCCGTTGTCGTATATGAATGCAGCCAAGCACTTATTATGAATTATAATGTCAATTTGGGTTGGACTGAACACTTAGCTGTTTTCTTGTGGTGCCGTTTAGGTTTTGATGCAATGCTGTTCAGAGCTTTAAGGTGCATTCACAGTTTCTAAAGTCGGTTCAATTTGATGATGTTGCTCATATATGTTTAAAATATATATGCACAAATATAATGTATTCTGAAGGACAGCAGATTCAGCACATTTATGATATATATAATATAATACAGTGTGTACATAGAGTCCTGTAGCTCAGGGTTAGAGCGCTCGCTTCGCAAGCGAGAGACCTGGGTTTGATTCCCGGCAGGGCGAAATGTTGAGCAAGTTTCCCTACTCCACACGCCTCTGTTCACATTGCAGAAAGTAGGAACCCAGTTATTAGGCAATTGGCGGATCACTTTTCCAGGGATAATAATCCCCCCAAAAAATAAATAAATAAATGATTTGGTCACTCAATCCACGACTGTTTGTGGGACACTGCTGTGCGCAATTGGCTGCCGCGTTTCGCCCACAAATATACAGTCAGTTCACTTTACAGGAAATTTCTGTGAAGCACTTTGAGACTTCTAGAAGACGTGAAATCTGCTATATCAAATGCGAGGACTATTATTATCCTTTCAATCCCATTCACCTGCCCTTTCCCAATACCTCTGCATTTTCCTTATGCATTGTGCATCTCCTTTTCCCCATTCCACTGAGCCAGGCCGACACAAATTAGCGGGTTACCTCCACTTGCTTAACATTTTTTAAAAAGGGATCTTGAAAAATAATTCCCTGAATCTAGCAGAAATGATCTCAAAGCACTGTGCATAATGAGGTTATTAAGGACGGTTCACTAACTGTCCTGAGTTTTATATTCTGTGTTTACAGTGAATATCATTCTACAAGTGTGGACTGCAAATTCAGCGCAGTAAACAATCAGCACATGATGCTACTTTTCAGGACACTGTTGCTATGTAGAGAAAGGCAACAACTCATCTGTGCCAGAAACCTCCCATAAACAGCAATGAGGTGAACGGCATATTAATCTGAGGTTTAGTGAATTTGGAATTTGAGGGAGGAATGTTGGCTAAACTATTGCCGGCAAAATAGGTCATCATTCATCAATAATCATCTCAGACTTTTACCCATATTATGGAATGTAAATACGTTATAAGAGCTACAATGCATTTTTGGGGAGTAGAATTTGTAAACAACAGTGTTCTTTTTAGTTATAAAAATACTACATTTGATTTCATTGTTTTTCTATGACAGATAAATAATAGTGGCCTTGTGTTTTTTATAAATGCACATGGCTGTATCTATGTTTTGACAATATTTAGCAAATCAGCTTTAGTGATCACATATAATCTAAATTAAATACTACTGTATATTTTTATGTTTAGAACAGTTTGAGTGAATTTATTTGTAATTATCTGTGCAGAAGGCAAATATTTCTATTGGAATTAAAGTAAACATGCAATGTTATAATGAATAAGACCACTCTTGAACACTCTACGGGTTTCGTTTATTCTTTGTAGTCCACTTTATGGGTCACTCACTGTGATTCTCTATGACTCATACATTCAAATTCAATCTCACATCCTTAGTCATAATTCTGAACTGTTTGTTTTACACACATGCTAGTCCCTAATACAGATGCATTCACACAGACGCTTTCGTATTTACTTGAGCGTGATATTCCATTAACTGCTCCCACTAATAACCTGGCAAGTATTGAAGTTAAAGACATATTAATTTTATATATGTTGAAAATGAAGAACTGCTCAAATAAACATGCAAAGTTATTGATATATTTGGTTTTCTAGACAATATTGCATTTAATAAACAATATGCTGGAGAGTATTACTGGGAGACCTCTTCACTTGTAAAATGCAATCATCACAAAATGTTATGACCCCGTTAACACGTATTAAAACAGCAGAATGCATTAAACTACGTACATTATTTACAAACTAAAGTACAGTACTTCGGAGTCCCAAATATTGTTATAATTTTCTTGAAATACACAGTTTATATTTCTACATAACAAAACCATTGCTGATTCTCAACCAATGCATTGTTATACAAGCACAGATTTAATTCAATTCTGGTACAACGAATTTGCCCTACCTGAAAAACAAAACAAAGGGGTTGATTGGAGTAGATGTTGTCAAATAAGACCACTGTCCAAAATGGCAGCATTTGCAAATGAAATAGAATCATTCTCACTTACCTAGAAAGTCCAGGTGAATTTCGGCCTCCAAGACCGATAGTCACATTAGCCAAACTGAGAGTTAGAAGAAAAATACCTGCACAAGCAATGCGTGATCCTCTTACCATTTACGTATTTGTCAATATTTCTTCACAGACCCATTGGAGCTCAGGCAGAGTTTGACTGAATCGAGCAGGTCTCCAGCCTTGGGCAAAAGCAGAAAACGAAATAATTCAAAAGTACGACAGCTGGTGATCAAACATTATTTCCCAAGTTTGGGGCCGCCTTGGAGAAAAGGACAGATCTTGTTACTTTGAGATGTTGTGTTCTGTGTTTATTGACATTGTAAGGATGCTGCATGCTGATGGCAGTGTGCTGTTGCTGTGGTTCGCCTGTTGCTATGACACCAGCCAGTGACATGCTGAATTGCTGCAGGATGCAGATAATTCGCTTCCTAACTCTCCCTTTCAGTAACGGGTCCCTCTCTCTCTCTCTCTCTCTCCCTCTCTCTCTCTCTCACACACGCACTTTCATATAATTTTTTATGTAACACGATTTTTTTTTTTGGGGGGGGGTGAAATTAACCGTTTAGACATAAGGAATCATTCGCCCCCTTCTTTGATACAGCAATTTCAGGAACAAAATATAGCACCAAGTAGATCCAGTCCTAAAAATACTTTTTTTTCATAGCAAAACAAAATAGTAAATCGAGGCACTATATAGCATCAGTGCCGTACAGCCTCAGTATTGTACACCACAATATAGCTGAGTTGATACTTTTTAAGACCAAGAGGGATGTAGTGATTGCATTATTTTAGGGAATGTTCACAACAACCCCTTTGATGAATTAAACCATTTTTAGGAAATATATTACGAAAACATCAACAACAGCTTGCATTTATTTTGCACCTCTCATGTAGGTGACATTTTAAAGCACTTTATTTATGGAGGTGGACTGGACACTGAATAGGAAGAGGGTGGTGGGGGTTGGGGGGAGTGACCAAAACCATGGTTGAAGAGTTACATTTTTAGGATTTTTTTAAAGATAGATAAAGGACAAAATGAATGGGTTTAATGAGGGAGTTCCAGAGGATAGAGGTACAGTGGCTGCAGGCTCAGCCTCCAACGATGGTGCAAAACACACAAGAGGGCTGAGTTTGCCAAGCAGAGGAGGTGAGCAAAATGAGACTAGAGGTACAGAGGGAAAAATCATAATAATTATATTAAGTTTAGCGCTTCTGGAGGACATCTAATCACTTCACAGGGTTTACAGTAAATTTGCAAATTGGCTGCCAGTGAGCCTACAAATATTTCAGACATTACAATTCACAGTAGAAAACCTGTGAAGCACTTTGAGACATCTCAATGCATGATAAGGCACCATTTCAAATACAAGGATTATTATTATTATAAGTGAACTCATGCTTCAGCGAGGGGCTAACCAACAGGATAACCTATTGCCTTTAGGTTATTGCCATAATCAGTGAACAAAAGTAACACCCAAATGCCTCAAACTGACCTTTAATCTCACTAATACTGTCACCAGACAAGATGTACTTTTCATAGCCTAATGAACATTATTACAAATGGAGGCAATTCCTTAATTTTGCATTGAACAGACTTGTTTGTTTGATGAATATCTATTGAGGAGTCCTGTAGCTTAGTAGTTAGAGAACTTGCCTTGCAAGCGAGAGGACCTGGTGATCCTGTTAACTCTCCAAACACTTTAATATTCCTGCAGTTTAAGCAGTTGACCACTCAGAGTCATAAGCAAAAGCAACTAAATCTGATGCACTTAATGTAATAATAATCCTTGCATTTGAAAGAGCGTCTTATCACATATTTGTGACGTCTCAAAGCTCTTCACAAAATACAGTGTAGAGTGAATTGACTGTATTTTTTGTGCCCAAAATGTAACATTGTAGGAAACCTTACTACCGGATCGAAAAATATAAAAGTTAATAATAATAATCCCTGCGTTTGATATAGTGCTTTTCACGTCTTCTAGACGTCTCAAAGCGCTTCACAGAATATGCTGTAAAGTGAATTGACTGTATACTTGTGGACGAAACGCGGCAGCCAATTGTGCACAACAGTGTCCCACAAACAGTCGCGAATTGAAAATGACCTATTTATTATTGTTTGGGTTTTTGGAGGGATTATTACTAGCCGTCTACATTATTAAAAGGCAGCACTAATCTTTAAAAGCAATGCACAAAACTACAAATAAGGCACTACCAGGTAATTACTGATCAAGCTTTTTACTAAAATGTGAATTAGCTGTTAACTCTCACAAGGTCTGAATGTAAATTTATTAAGGGAAAAGTAATTATTTCTGAATCCAACATTGGTACAGTACTGGCTTGCATACCATTCATCTCCTTCTGGACTCGAAGTTTCTCAATTTGCAAAATATTCATCTATTTCCCAGAAGCAGATGTTCAATCACACTTTATTTCAAAGCAATCAAAGTTCCAGGTTGCTAATGCTTCCTTTTAGATTTTTGCGAAGATTGCTACTGTAATGCTCGACAGCTTTAATGAATAACAGATTCACAGGCGTGCAGCCTTAAAGAGAATATGATCAGGGATGATACACACTTAGAAGTTTAGTGAATGATTACCAATGAGTGGTAAAATTGCCACAGAAGCAGCTGTCAAGCTCCCTTACAGGCAGTGCAACGCCTCTAAAACAGAATTTAATATTTTTCATGTAACCTGAAGGTTTCTGAAGCAGAAATTAAGAATAATAATCCTTGCATTTGGTGTAGTGCCTTATCATGTCTTCGAGACATCTTAAAGCGTTTCACAGAATATACTGTAAAATATTGACTGTATATTTTGCAGCCAAAACGCGGAAGCCAATTGCGCACAGCAGCGTCCCACAAACAGTTGTAGATTCAGTGACCAAATCATTATTTTTTTTATAGGGATTATTATCCCTGGAAAAGCAATCCGCCAATCGCCTAACAACCGGGTTCCCACATACCTGCTAGGTAAACAGAGGCGTGTGGAGTAAGGAAACTTGCCCAAGCTTTCGCCCTGACGGGAATAGAATCCAGGTCTCTCGTTTGTGAGGCGAATGCTCTAACCACTGAGCTACAGGACTCCTGTTAAATTCGATCATCTTTGCCCCCACTCTCCTCAGTTCCTCTCTCACTCTCTACCCCCACTCTCCTCCCCCGCCACTCTCCTCCCGCCCCCTCCTCCCCCTCACTCTCCTCCACCCCCACTCGCCTCCACCCCACTCTCCTCCCCCCCACTCTCCTCCCCCCCACTCTCCTCCCCCCAATCTCCCTCCCACTTTCCTCTGCCCACTCCCCCCCCATTCTTCTTGCCCACTCTCCGCCCCTCTCTCCTCCCACCCCACTATCCTCCCCCCCTCACTCTCCTCCCACCCACTCTCCTCCCCCACTCTCCTCCCCACCCACTCTCCTTCATCCCCCCACTCGCCTCACCCCCCCACTCGCCTCAACCCCTCACACTCGCCTCACCCCCCCCACCCACGCTCGCCTCACCCCCCACCCCCCCACATTCGCCTCACCCCCCCACCAACACTCACCTCACCCTATATACGCTATATACTTAAATGTAAATTCTTGTGTTTTCTTTATCTAGTTCTGTTATGTAGTGATTCTATGATTGCTCTGACATTACTGCATTGGCTCCTCTGTTATTCCCCTTTGCATCTCTCTTCACAAATAGGAAGGTTTTGTCAATAAATTCTTTTAAAAGGGAATTATATAAGATCTTGAGAAAGATAAATATTAACATGCACGAGGAGTGAGCAGAATAGTGGGATTAGATTCATGGCTCTTCCAGAGAAAAAAAATATCAGTGCTGAATTGATGAACAAAATTGCTTTTTAGTCCAGGTTGGAACAAACTCTCTTGCCTATGAATGAAAAAATGATGATCTGACCCCTTCGAGGAGAAGTAGCTCACTAAAGAAATATTTATTCCCTTAATCCATGAAGATGAGACCCTAGGAATCCCACAGGGTAGAAGAAGTGGGCATGTCTCAGGCTGATGCAAGTAAAAATAGTTAATTCACCAGTCGACACAAAAGTTGAGCATATGCATTGTGCAAGGTTTTATCGCATGCCGTGACATTGTCACCATAACTAAGGGCAACTACATCAAGAATTGCACTAACCTCCTGTTTTTTTCTTTAGCAATTTCTTTTCAGCCACCACCGAGCCCAGTTACCAGTATCTCCAGCAGCAGTGAGGGGGAGAGGGAACGAAGTGGACCTGTTGGCAAATGAAAAGGAGACATCCACGTCCCAACAACATTCCCTACCAAACCAAGAACAACATGGGAGAAGCCGGCAGAGGGAAAGGCTGCCCTCCAGCCCATCTGCCACCTCATGAAATCAGTGTTAGATGAGGAGAAATGTTATTGTGCTCTCCTCCAACCTCATTCTCTCTCAAAACCTAGCCCTTGCGGCACCACATACCCAAGTGCTGCGGAGCAATGAACAGAAAAGTACTCGGGACAAGTGATTAGTCGGGGGAGAGTACCTGGTGTTTTGGTCAACATCTTCACATTTCCCCCTTCTTTGTTTCCTTGTCAATATGCCCGCTACAGCCTTTGTGAAATGCCTCAAGATTTTCACTTCAACATTCACATACGAACAATGTTATACAAGTGCATACAATTGTTACAATGTTCACCCTCAGTTCTGTCATTAACCAGAGTAAATAACACCACATCGTAAGTACAAAAACAACGCTTCTCCCTATTGAAAAAGTGGGTGCAGCTTAAAAAAAAAGTGAAGGCTAGTTTGGACATTTTCAGCGGTGTAGGTAGGTACACCACCACAAGGAATCATTTTGGGATTGTGCAACTATATTATCCCATTTGCACCACTAGAGGACCTCAGTTGTCTACTTTGTTAAATTTACTCAAATGTCATGGAAGCATATCTCTGAAAATATTTTGCAGGTTGTAACTGCACAGCTTTGGAGTTCAAAAGAGTGAAGCATTAACAAGCAAATACTTAAGACTGCCAATGCAAATGGAGGTAAACAACAATGCAATTTCCACAAGCTTTCTGCACATTAGACAAATTTAGCAAAAAATAAATAGGTTATTTTTACAATATTAGAACATCTCTTAAAAACACCTTTTTCGGTCAGACACGTGTCTGACCACATGCAGAAACCCATCACCATGCTTAAAAGTATGGAAACAGTTCTTATTAGCTAGGTCAAAAGATCTTTCTTCATATTTCAGTGTATAATGGCCAACAACTTACTCTTCCATGGGGGAGATATTTGTGTGGTCAGCCCAGTGTCTGACGTGTGGAAACCATGATTAAGAGAAAACAAATCAGACTTAAGAGTTCTATATATGTCACCTAACCGAGAAATTCCAATGTCAGGAATGGAATGCACACCCTTTACTTGGACGCACAATGTTCATCTAGTTCTGGAGAATATTAGACACGGCTTGGGGACCCAGAGTAGAGTGTGTATTGGGGTACTATTGGAGGTTAACCAGCTAAAATCACATAGCTTGCCATTAAAACATTCTGGCAAGCTTCCCACTGCTTGTCCTGCTAGGACCACCCTACCCAATAGGTTTACAGGGTTAACAGGAACTGAGTTGAACAATCCCTGCCCCAGTGACTCATCTGCCCTCCAACCTTAAACGTGAAAAGTGTCAAAAAGTATGTTATTAAATACTTTAGAAGGGAATATATATTCTAAACTCCTCGATGTGATCTTCCCTTACCAGCAAACAATTTCTGTGTGATAGCTACATTTGAACTCCAACAGGAAAAATAAGATAATACAAACATGGCAGCATTTCAGTAATCAATAATGTGCTTAAGTACTGCACATACTGTCTGATGTAAATAATAGCCATTGTATGAAATTGCATTAAATTAATATCTAGTTACTTATGGCAATGCTACGTATTTAATGTCACTGTCCAAATATTTAATAACTGTAGGTATCTTCTCATTAATAAATCTTTATAAATTGATTTTTTGAAAAGGAATCTTTTGTTTTACCTTAAGCAGGTTTATGTATACTGAAATACATAAATCTCTTTATATAGAAAGTACTGTGTGGTCAACAGAGCTACATTCAATTGATGCTTTTGTGAAACACTTTGAGATGTCTAGAAGACGTGAAAAGCGCTATATCAAAATGCAAGGATTATTTTTTTTGAAAAAAATTCAAAGAAGAAAAAACTCATTCAGTTATTTCTTAGACAATGATTTTTAAATGGGTCATCCTAGATGTTGAAAAATACTTGACTGATATTATCTCGTCTGTTATCTATTAAAACGTATCACCTTTAAAATGTGTAATTGTCTTCTCTGCACCAATTGGCAGTGAGAGCAGAGGCCAGGAATTACACCCATTGCATTAATACAACACCCTATTGAATGACAGAAAAGGTGTGGTGAGCGTTCTCTTGTATTATGCTTCACCCCGTCTCCACATTTATCACCTGTCCCGTGCCTCAACTAAGCTGTCATTCACGTCGCTGTGTTATTGACTTGTTGAACATGTTTCCCATGCATCTCATCCTCGCTGTTTCATGCTGGGTTTTATGTTTCAACTCAGCAAGACTTTGCGATACTCCTGATATTCTAATTGCCAATTCTTCCGGAGACATCATCATCGGTGGTCTCTTCCCAATACATCGAGTTGGGCCAGATACAAACCGTACTCAGCCAGGACCAATAACTTGCTCAGAGTAAGTGTTAATTCATCTACATTTTTTAATTGCTTTTTGTGGACATAAATTAGAATTTTTATTACCTTTTAAACTAAGCACTGTTAAACATTTTAACTGTAAGAATAAATAGAATTCACTTTGAGGTAAAGAGTCTGTGTTGCGTGTAATAGTCATTTTTCTGTCATCTGCTGACATTAGAGACTGAACATTACCGAATATAAATGGATAGTTAACTAGAACAAATAATTTGCATATGTCTGAGGGATCTTCAAGGTAGAGAAGTCATGATTGTTTTTGCTGAAAGGGCTTAAGTCAAACCTACTTTTGTAGATCAATTATTTCAATCTGATTACAATGATATAATAATATAAAATGTTGCTTAAAAGGTAAGGAAGTAGGCTGTCTGTAATAAACACTGTGCCTATGCTAATCGCAGCATGAAGTATTGTATGTATCTCTTTTCTGGGGGTAATAATTCCTTCAAAATAAATAAAAAGAGTTTGGTCAATCAATCCACGACTGTTTGTGGGACACTGCTGTGCGCTAATGGCTGCCAAGTTTTGCCCACAAAATATACAGTAAATTCACTTACAGTATATTCTGTGAAGCGCTTTGAGACATCGCAAAGATATGATAAGGCACGATATCAAATGCAAGGATTATTATGTTGCACAGGTACAGGAACACACAAGGTTTTCGGTCCTAGCTTGTTCATGTAACTGCAACATAGAGATATGTTGTACATAGATCACTCTTTGTTTATTTAATTTTGTGAATAACACAATATCTCATGATATTGCACATTAAATAAGATGCAGTTTGGAAATGACACCTTATAATTTACATTATAAATGTGTGCAACAAACTAAACCTATAAAGTAAAATAGAGAAGATTGTAGAAATACTTTACTTGAATTTTTTTTAAAGCAGCAACAGAAAAAGATTCTTTGAGAAGGATGTAAAAGGAGGAATTTTATGCTTATTTATATCCATTGAGAAAAAATACCTCTCTTAAATGATATTGTGAAATGTAATTGTTAACAAACCGTGGTTTACAAGTTCTAGTGAATGAGTGTTTCTGCAGAAAATCAAATCCACATTGGCAGAAATGCAAAACAATATTATTTAAACGTGTAAAGCAGTTACAAGGGAAGGTTTTAAGTAAAGTTCAAATTTATACAGAAAATTCAGAAAAAATGCGAAAAGCTATGTGCGGCATAGAACTTTGAAGTTAAAATAAACTTTCTGGGCTAAATTGAACTGAATATCAAGGGATAGAGATGGATATGGATTGGTAACTGGCAAAAGGGAATGAAACAGGGGAGTGATTTGGGCAACTTGACAAAATAAAATTAGTTATTGTGTGGGTTGCCTGTATCAGTGTGTGCTGAAACCCTTCCTGTTCCATGTATGTATTAATAACCTGAATTTTCAGATTTATTGCAAGATAGGCAAATTTACAGACAACAGAATGTTAGGGAAACTGTTGAATCAGAGGAAGCAGTCAAGATCATATAAAGAGAGCTACATATCTGAGCTGATCATTGATAAATGATGTGCAAAACAGAGAAATGAAACGTACTGCATGTAGGAAGTAAAATAGGACATGTATTCATTCCATAGCCAGAATGTAACTTGCCAAAGAGGTGTGAGTCTCTTGGGTGGGGGAGTGCATGGCCTCTGAATCAATTGGTTAAAAAAAAAGTTGTTTTTTTCTGGGGAAAGCTTGCATATTATCCCTAGAGAATAAAATATTTACCAAAAAGATTAACCTTAGTTAACCTCCGAACTCTACATTTTTTTAAAAGACTGTTTCAATTGAAATTACAAAAAAAAAGGATATCATTGATAAAAAAAAACTAAGGTGTATTTAAGATGGAAGGAAGTTGTCAGAAATGTTCCCCTGTGATTTAAAATTTTAAATCGCACAGAATTGTAGAAAATTCTTAAATTCAGTATTAAGTTGGAAGTAGGCTCTTTTTGAGAAATGCAGAAAAATGGCTTGCAAATTATGATTAAATTTAAGAATATGTCACAATTCTGTGCAATCAAACAAAATAGTCCTGTAGGCTAAGATTGGGTGAACATTCCAACAAATTTGCAAGTGATATTCGTTCCTTATGAGTGCATTGAGCAGCCTTCTCCAGCTATCACTCCAACTGAGGGTGTGGAGTTTGCAAATTGACTCCAACGCTAAATACTATGAACGTTATAGCAATACCCTGTTCCATATGTTCTTGCTTAATTAACTAGGCTTCCTTTTATTTTAGTTAGTTAGGTGCATTATTTTTCAATCTAATCTGTTCTTAATATTACACATGGTTACGTACAGAGATCAAGGAGCTGATTAAGCTGTGATTACTCAGAGTCTTTAATGACTGGTTGGCTTATCTTCTTACGTTGGGATGTTAGAATAAGGCAAGATTGATTTAAAACCTCAGTCAGCTTGGCTCAGTTGGTAGAACTCTTGCCTAGGTCAGAAGGTTGTGGGTTCAATCACCACATTTGGACTTTTGAGTTCCTAGACTAGGCTGGGTTGGGGAATGCTGAATTGTCAGATGTGCTATCCTTCCGACGAGACATTATAATAATAATAATAATAATATAATCATTGCATTTGATATAGCACCTTATCACGTCATCAACATATCTCAAAGCACTTTGCAGGAATTTCTATAAAGTGCAGTTACTGTGTATTTTGTAGGCAAATGTGGCACACAAACAGCCACTAAGTGAATGATTTATTTTATCTGGGAGAGTGTTGGCCAGGAACACCAGGAGAAACAGAGGGAGAAGTATCTTTGCAATCCACCTGAATAGACAGACAGGATCTCAGAAATTGTCTCTGACAATACAGCACTCCCCCAGCTTAGTCCCAACGTGAGGCTTGAACCCACGTGATTTTTACACAGAGGGCAATGAATGACTGGAACAGGTTATCACGAAAGGCAGTAGGCGCCAGGACACTGGACTCGTTTAAAAAGCAGCCTGATGCAGTGATAAGGGGATGGGGTTGGTGGTGGTGTGAGGGGTGGCAGTAGAGTAGGTGTTCTGGAGGGATGGGATCAGATGTTCTGAAGGAGTTTCTACATCCAGACCAATGTTGTGACTTTTTCCATTTTGAGGCACAGGTGTTACCAGTCACATCTGCTGGTTAAGACAGACACTAAAGATCCTATAGCACTATTTAAAAAGAGAAGGGAGTTGTTCACAATGGCCTGGCCACCAAATCCTTCAGGTAAAATTGAACGTTTACTTCCTGGATCTTTGTATATCATTGGCTGTGTGCATCTGCCTAAAATACAGTCACTACACTTTACAGAACATTTTGAAGCACTTTGAGACATTCTCGACATGATAGACACTATTTAAAAAACAAGGGTTATTCTTATTACCCAACATTCAGCAAGTATTTCTCACAAGCTTAATATATTTGCAGTAAATGTTTAAAATGTGTTTTTTCTGTGTCTTCTATTTTCCAGCTTCAATCCTAATTCATTTATTACAGCCAACGCTATGATATATTCCATTGATCAGATAAACAATTCTACTTTGCTACCAGGCATCAAGCTGGGATATGAAATTTATGACACTTGTTCGGATGTCATTGCTGCCGTTGAAGCAACCACACGGTTTCTTTCCACCTCTGAGAATTGTGTGGAAGTACGTTGCAATTACACAGACTATAGACCTAATATAAAAGTCGTCGTAGGATCTACCTTCTCAGAAGTATCAATTGCAGTTGCAAGGATATTGAACCGGTACCTCATGCCACAGGTATGTATGTGTATTGTTCACCTTCACGTACCAACAATTAACACTGTTTTAATCTTACCTGTAAAGCATGGTATACATTTAAGAGGGAATTTTACCATTGGGACTTCTATTTCAAATTAATTATATTGATTAACCGCTTCAATAAAACAGGCTAAACTTGCAGTATTCTTTATTTAATGCTGGCATAAACCATCAAGTGGCACCTACACCTCTGGATAAGGAGTTTTTTTTATTTTCAAAAGATTCTAGTGACTGTCTTTCATTTGATATAGCACCTTTCATATTGGGAGGAAGTACCAAAGTGTGTCCAAAAAAAATACTGTTAGGTGCAATGATTGTGTGTTTCAGTGGGCAGAAGTGTCAACCAATTTGCACACAGCAATGCCCCATAAACTGAGTTCCTACAGAAAAGAACAGAAAGATAAGCTCCCTTCGCCATTTTACCGTAAATAGAAAATAAAGTGCAAGTTCTACCCTTGAAAATTTGTGACCCAAATGAATGAATAATCACTGAATATATTGTTCATTTGCAAACCCGTTTATTTTGTGATAAAGGATGACAATCCTACTCATATTTGGAAATTCCAAAGATCCACTGAAGACTTTGGTTTTGTTGTGCACTTTGATGATACTGAACTTCCTGGGTCAGCCACTACTGGTCAGCCACAAAGCTAGCATAGAGTTTATCTGATCAAAACTTGCCTCAAAGCATTGCTGTTTGGTTGAAGATAATTAATTGAGTTATTTTGTGGTAAAAATAAAAGCTCTAATTCTACAAAAAAGACTATGCCTTTATACATTTACAAGCAATTTCATTTCATTTCCCTTTGGACTTTTGACAGGTTGCTTATGCAGCATCTGCTAAGCTACTCAGTAACAAAAACAGATTTGCATCATTTTTACGGACTGTTCCAAGTGACATCCATCAGACTCAAGCCTTGGCTGAACTTGTCAAAAAATTTAACTGGAACTGGATTGCAGTAATTGCTACTAACGATGACTATGGACGGAGTGCAATGAACGACTTTATCGTAAAATCTCAGAATCTCAATATATGCTTTGAATTTTCTGAACTAATTCCAATTTATGAAGGAGAGGCACAAAATGCAAGAATTGAAGAAATAGCTAAGAAAATTAAGAACTCAACCTCAAATGTTATAGTAGTATTTGTAAGAGGACAATTTGTCAAACTCCTTTTCAAAAAAATAAAGATGTTAAAGGTGAAGAAAACCTGGATTGCTAGTGATGCCTGGTCCAATTCTAGAAACGTTGCTGACTTGGATGATACTGCGGATGTTGGAAAGATCATGGGCATTGTATTCAAAAATGGCGATATTCGAAACTTTCCTGATTACATGCAAACATTGAATCGGTCTTCCACAAATATCAAGTTCATTAATAATTATTACAAGACAAATTGTGTAGCTTCGGAAGATAACTTAACGGACTGTATTAGAATCAGCTATGCTTATAGAGTGAATTTGGCCATTAGAGCCATAGCTCATGCTCTTCAGAAGAAACTCAGTTGTGATTCAGAAAATTGCAGTCGTGATTTTAACTTTGCTCCTTGGCAGGTAAATAATTCAAAACCTTTTTCCTGTTTTTTTCAGATGTAGATAATATAAATACACCTGTTTATTGACAACCTAATTCAAGGTTACTGTGTTCGGTTCTGAGAACCACACTTCAGGAAGGATGTCAAGGCATTGGAGAAGCTGCAAAGGAGATTTACCAGGATGGTACCAGGAATGAGGGACTTCAATTATGAAGAGAGGCTAGAGAAGCTAGGATTATTCTCCTCGGAGCAGAGAAGGTTAAGAGGAGATGTAAAGGAAGTTTTCAAAATTATAATTTTAAGGCCCATATTACAATATTACATATTTTAAACTAGTAAAGTAATAGTAGAGAAAGCAAAAGAATGGAAAGTGCTGCTATTAACAGGTAATTAAGAGGTAAGAGCTTGCTATTTCAGTCTCTGATAAGGTCCACAACTACAATTTGCACTTACATAGCGCCCTCCTGGGTAGCGTCTCAGAGCGCTTTACAGTGGCGCAGCCTGACTCCAAGCCGTAAGCACAGACGGAGAGGAAGGTTTTCAGGTGGGACTTGAAAAGGGGGAGCGAGGGGGCAAGACAGAGGGATTGAGGGAGAGTGTTCCAGAGTTTTGGGGCATAGTAGCTGGAAGCGCGACCTCCGATGGTGGGGCGGAGGGTGCGAGGGATGAGCAAGAGGTGACGGCTGGTGGATTGGGGAGTGAGGAGGTCGGAGAGGTAGGGAGGTGCCAGAGAGTGAAGGGATTGAACACGAGTGTGAGGATCTTGAAGTCGATCCGTTCGGTTATAGGGCGCCAGTGGAGCCTGGCCAGAACTGGTGAGAGGTGGGTACAGAGTTTGGTCCGGGTCAGAATGTGGATAGCAGAGTTTTGAATGAGCTGGATCTTTTGAATGGTGGAGATGGGGAGACTGGCGAGGAGTTCGTTTTGAGTAATCCAAGCGGGAGGTGACAAACACATGCATGATTTGGTCATCAATCAACTAAATTAATTCTTAGATTGCTATTATTTGGTCAATTCTTTTGGTCACCCAGGTATCAAGTCAAAGCCCTAATGCTTTGGCTTGCATTAGGTGTTCATAGTTGAACAAGCAGCAGGAAAGCTTGCCATACAGTGTAAGGTATGCAGTTTTAGCTGATCCAAGCAATATCCCAATGCACACTGTGGGGTCCCTAAGCCTTAGCTCTTGCCAACCTGTGCCTAATACTCTCCGGAATTAGATAAACAGGATGTGTTCATCCAGGGAGAGAGCGAGCATTCCATTCCAGACACAGGGATATTTCCATGTATAGGTGGGAGCCATACGTCTGGTCTGATTAAGCATAATGATGGGTTTGTGCATGTGTCAGATACCCGGCTGACAAAAAAAATACATACAGAAACCCATCACCAGAGTGAGAAAAGAATCTGAGAATTCCATACATCCCACCTACACATGGAAATTTCTGTGTATTGGAATGGAATGTGCACTCTCTCCCTGGAGGAATGTGATTTTAGCACTTATTCATTCATTGAAATTGATCAAAAGCAGCTCGAAGAACATAAATTCCACAGAACAGCAAACTATTGAAATGCTCTGGTCAATCTATTGTACTTAATGCAGTGCACTCACTTATGTCAAACTCGTTTATATCAACATCCCGCACAGGTCAACAAAAATCTGATGACGTCGATATGAATTTCGGCATGCTTATATCGACAAACTTCTCAAGTCCTTAACAGAATTATGTACATTGTGTTATTACTGCTTATGTCAACAGCCATTTGTTTTAACCCTTGCCTCTCTGTGCTAAGCCTGGTTCTCCAATGTCCATAGATCAGAACGAGTCATTGAAATGCTCCACCTGAGATTTGGGGCTTGAGGCTCATGCATAGCTCAGGGTATACATCAACTCCCGGCTGCCAGTGACCGACAGCACTTGTTCATTCGTTTATGTCGAAACCACTTATGTCGACAAAATCTACTCGGTCCCTGCGATGTTGACATAAACTCGTAGGACTGTACTGTTTTTATATTATGTTACCAATGGCAAACTATGAGCATAACAAAATTACAGTTCCACATAATAGCACTTTCTAAGCTTCTGAAATATTGTTTTAGCTTGCGTATGTTTTTGGATGATCATATCATCAGATCTCCCAATAACTGATGAATCCTTTATTTGCAGTTGTTGAATTTCTTAAAGAATGTTAGTTTTACACATGAAAATGGCAAGTTTGAATTTGACGATTCAGGAGATTTCACAGATGGATACGATTTCATCAGCTGGCAGTTGGTGAATGGCTCAGTGCAGTTTCAACCTATTGGTGGCTATGATTTGAAAACCAAAAAAGTAATTATTAATGATAGCTACTTCAACACTGTAAAGGTAATGTTCTTTTTAAAATATATAAACGTAATGTTGTTTTGCTTCATTTTCTTGCAGAAATTACTCTATATATCTAATACATTGAAACTATTTTGGTTGGATTTGTAGATCTCTGTCCTTCAGATGAGATGATAAAGCAAGGTCTTGTCTGTCTGTTTGTCTGTCTGCTCATGGCACTTGTCAAAAGAAGAAGGTAGCTTCTCCCGTTGTCCTGGCCAACAATTCCCCAAATAAAATTGATCACTCATTCCATAGCTATTTGTGGGTCATTGCTGTGTGCAAATTGGATGCTGCATTCAGCCACAAAATATACACAGTCACACTACTTTACAGTAAATCCTGTGAAGCTCTTTAGACATCTTGACGACATGATAAGGACATGATCTAGGTCAGTTAGCAGATTGCTTTCCAGGAGTAAGATTCTCCCTTAAAAATTGGTTACTCAATCCACGGCTGTTTGTAGGACATCGCTGTACACAGTTGGCTGCTGCATTTCACCCACAAATAAACAGTCACTACAATATTTTCTGTGAATTGCCTTTGAGACATCTCGACAACGTGATAAGGCACTATATCTAATGCAAGGATTATCATTATCAATTGTAAGGATTATTTAATTATTGTAAGGAGGGTGAATTGCTACTGGAGTCCTGTCTGATTTCCTCTTCAATCGGTCAGGACAATTTTTGGACAATTGTCAGCTTGTTTCATCAACAACAACAACAAAATGACATTTATTTCAGTTGGTAGCACTCTGACTTCTGAGTCTGAAGATTTTAGGATCAAGCTTTACATCAGGAGTTTGATATCATAGAATCTGACACTCATTTTCCATTAAAATTATGAAATTTATAAAATTATTAAATGAATTTTTTTTACATTGGGATTATTCTCTGCTTGTCACTTATTTACTTATTTTATAATACAGTTATTAGCCCACATAGCTAAGGTACATTCATTTAATGCAAAGCAGTCAGTAATATAACACTCTGTCCCAAAATTGATAAATGTATTGACAGCATAATACAGAATAAGCACACTGGCCTTATTAACCACTGCAATTTTTTTTCCATTGAATTATTTTGAGTATTTCTTTCATGTACAGTTTGCTGTTCTAAGATCTACCATTCTTTATTTTTTTGTCTCATTCTTTCCAGCTCCCTTGTTTCCCTCTGTGTTTTAGATTTTCAGAGTTGTTTTTAATTCGTATATTCTTTGAAATTGCTTCAACTAATACCGTATAAAAATAATGTTTGTGTTTGATAGAGTGCCTATAAAGTCGAAATGTGCTTCACTGGTTAATTTTTTTCCTGTGATGTGTAGTCACTGTATATGAATGCAGCAGCTTATTTGCATTCACCAATATCTACTTAGGGGTGAAATCATTCGGGGGATGATTGGCTCGCGCAGCCTTGTCAAACCCAATTTGTACATAAGTGTGGCTCATGAACAACAGTGTGAGCCTCGGCTGTACAAAAATGTTACCAGAGATGCATGTGTGAATCATTTCATGCAACGTGAATCAAAGACATACGTAGCAACAGCATAGTCTTAAAGGAATTACTACATCAAAGACATTGCATACGTGTGTGTATATGTACGTCGAAAACATTGGGTGATTTTAAATATTCCATATTCAATTCAAAGTTGCAGCAATTCTGCAATAATTTGTTAATTTTCAAACATAACTTTGTAAACATGCCATTGACACTTTTACAGTTGTACGTACAAGTTGCTAGTATTTAACTGACATGCATTTGTATACAAAGAGAGTAGAGACAACATGAGGAGCTAAGTTAATTTGAATACATGAAAAACAGTTCACTGGAGTTGTGCGTTTAATGTGCAAATCTACTTCAACACATTGTCACTCAAAAAACAATGTATTGTTTGAGTATACTCGTTTGGTTTGATTATTCAGATGAGTATTATTTTAGATGATTATTTCAATTGAATATTTGAAAAGCCGGACTAGAGGATTTTTTACTGCATATATATATTGTGTTTAAATAGCCATACACATGTCTTTGTAAGCCAATTGTCAGCAGGAATTATCTGAGACACATGCTTTCTGCTGAAGTCGAGGTGGCTGTGAGCTATACCGAGACCCTTCAAGAGTCACACGTGGCTCCATAGTTTGACAACGCTGGCTACAATATGAGGAAAAACGCACTTCTCTTTTCGATTAGTGCTATGGGATCCTTAACATCCACCTAAACAGAAGGGAGGACCTTGGTTTAACGTCTCATCCAAAGGACAGTACTGGCACTACATCAGTTGGAAAATATTAGATCCTGATTCTATTTAATTTACTGTACTTTCCATGGCATAAAAAACATGTTGCATATGAAAAATATTTAATAATATTTAATATTTAATAAAAAAATTATTTGGGGGCAGATTTTAGGATAACTTAAAGAAGGGCACTGTGTAGCATGTCTTCTGTTAACAATAACAATTTTAATGTTTTATAGATCAAATCTAGTTGCTCAGGAACCTGTCAACCTGGAGAAAGGAAGAATGTCTCTTCTACAAACTCCTGTTGCTATGGATGTATACCTTGCCCAGCAGGAAGATATTCTGAAAGAAATGGTAGTTATTAAAAGTGGTTAAAACACTTAACCATAATTTAAACATAACCCTCTTGCTGTGCTGTAAACTTTCCATGATTCTAATCAGGATCTCTGGAACTCTACCTTATTCCTTCCAATTTGCCTCATCCTTGTCCATCTCCAGATAATATCTGAAGATCTTCCTTTTTGCCCAGTTCAAGTTCCGCCACTGTTAAGCGCTCTGTGAAGTTGTCGTTATTATTATTGATTCCAATTCCAAACACAAAGGTCTGTGTAAACAAAATACTGCGATTGAACTTCATAAATTCATAAAGTAATACAGAGCTCCGCATTTGTCTAGATGCTATTTTTGGTGACTGTAGGCCCCAAATTCCACCATCTGGTATGGAGTTCTGTTGTGTATTAGTTAGAGCACTCACTTCACAAGCAAGAGGGACCCAGGTTCGATTTCCAAGCAGGGCAAAACTTTAGGCAAGCTTACTTATTCCATGCGCCTCTGTTTACCCCAGCAGTAAGTAGGAACCCAGTTGTTAGTTGATTGGCGGATCGCTTTCCAGGCGTAATATTTCCTTCAAAAAAAATTTTAAATAATAATTTGGTAACTCAATCCACGACTGTTTGTGGGACACTGCTGTGCGCAATTGGCTGCCACATTTCTCCCACAAAATATATAGTCAACTCACTTTACGGTATATTCTGTGAAACACTTTGAGACGTCTCAATGACGTGAAAAGGTTCTATAAGACCATCTGGTCTTAAAATTTAAAGTCACACAACCTTCTGATCCAGAGTGCTACCAACTGAGCCAGGCTGACACCTAAGGCAAATGTTGATGCAGATATCTGTAGAAAGCCCCAGAAAAAGGGTCCATTTTCAAAATAAAAGCAACAAAAGCAAATAAATAGTGTTCAAGATTTTTAGTAAAATTGGATACTGTGTGAAACAAAGAATTACCGTGCAGCTCTGAAAAAACATGATGGTTAAGATCAATAAAATTGCGTCCCGATTCATAATGAGGTGTGATAGATGGTTTCACTCCACAAAAAACACAGCTGCTGTTTCCTTCCCTGTGCCAACTTGACTTAAAAAAGCCAACTTGCCATCGGCATCATTTCCTGCATGCTGCTTATGTGCAAAGCTGGACATAATGTCGACAGGAAACTGATCACCTGGAGGTCAGACATTTTTAGTGTGCAGGTAGCTAAACTGATGGACTTCTCCTTTATCAGGTCTCCACCAACATCACTTCCTATACACTGTACATGTGCATAAGATGTCGGTGGCAACCTAATGACCTGGAAGTCAGTCATTTTAGTGTGAGAGCTGGCCAGCACACGTGCAGTGACTGGGGTCCAATATAAAGAAGCATCTTATAAAGAGGTGTGCTGTACTGTTTCTTCTGAAATATGGGTTCCCTAAAAGAACCAGATAAGTTTCAATTTAAAAAGATTCAGAGCTATTGGTTACCAGATGGATGTGTTCACCTACAAATACATAATCACTGCACTTTACAGTAAATCATGTGAAACACTTTAAGACACCCTCCCAATGTGAAAATAACTATACCAAATGTAAGGATTATTGTATTATTTTTATTATAATTATTATAAATATTGTTTTATTTTGTGAAGGAATTGTTTTGAGATGTTGGGTGAGTAGACTAAGCGCATCAATTGTATACTTGTGCTTAAATGTTACCATATGTAAAAATATGTACATTTAATATATCATATACCCAAATAATGATGCTGGACGTTCTACTGTGCCTTTTGTCTGTCATTTCATCAGTTAACCAAGAATCAAGGTCCTTTCTTCTTCTATAGATTCCAATGACTGTGACGTGTGCCCTGGGGACTGGTGGTCAGAGAAGGGAAGTTCAACATGCAAGCCCAGAACTTTTGAGTTCCTCAGATGGAATGACGTTGTTTCTATTGTGCTGATAACATTTACATGTCTGGGAATACTTGTAATATGTGTAATCGTTGTATTGTTCAGGAAGAACTGGGGCACACCAGCTGTGAACGCTGCTGGTGGTTGGTTGAGTTATTTAATGTTATTCTCCATATTGCTCAGCTTGGTCAGCATTTTTTTCTTTATTGGAAAACCAGATAATTTCAAGTGCCAGATCCGACAGCCCTTTTTTGGCATTAGTTTCACTTGTTGCATCTCCTGTATTTTAGTGAAATCTTTTAGGATCATTCTGGCTTTTACTTTTAATCCAATTCTTCGTAAAAAGTTGAAATATATCTACAAGCCAGTGCCTATTATAACAATTATCACAGGAATTCAAGTGATCATTTGTACAACTTGGTTACTCACAATGCACCCCTATGTCGATAAAAATGCAAGCAACTCTGGAATTATTTTCCTATCTTGTCAAGAAGGTTCCATTGTGGGGTTTGGATTTATGTTAAGTTATATATATCTTCTTGCATTTATTTGCTTTATCTTTGCTTTCAAAGGGAGGAAGGCTCCTGATAATTACAAAGAGGCTAAATTTATAACATTCAGCGTGCTCATTTACTTAATAGTTTGGATTTTGTTTATTCTAGTGTATATCAATGAGGAAGAGGGCCACAAAAATCTCCCAGCAATTGAAGTAGTTGCAATTTTAGCATCAATCTTTGGCATCTTATGTTGCCAATTCGGTCCAACCAGTTACATTGTTTGCTTCAAGAATGAAAGCAATGTTGAGTCAAATTATTTGGTGCAAGTGCGAGAGTATTTGAAAAGGAAAGGTCAGTTTGTAGTTCCAAATCCTAAAATAAGCTCTGAGACTTCTGTAACAGAATTACCATCTTCTTCTGTGCCATGCACATCTGAATCTGTAGTTTATCAGAACCCCAGCAACAAAGAACAGATCAATGTGCTGATAAATGAACAGACTCGCACATTTGCATCAAGCTCCCTCAGAAAAAGACGTGGAAGTTGGTAAATCCTCTTCACAATGAAGAATGAAGTGCAGAGAATCCAATCACCATTTTTTGACATTTGATTTTAGTACCAGTGTTGCATTACCTCAAACTATGGTTGCTTGTTAATAAGTAATATTAGTAGTTGTTGAGACAATATTTTTCCTAGCTGAACTGAGAAACTCACCAGCTTGGCAACTTAGCTAATACTTATATTTACTAAATAACAATGGAATGACTTCCAAAGAACCAAATGTTTTGAAGTCATTCAAGATTTTCATTTGAGCCAATGTAATTTTAATGGAAAATAGCTTGAGAAGTACCTGCAATCAATTGTATATTTTTATATAGATCCATGTTATATCATCCTTTGTTAATATTGTGGCACACCAGCCATCTTGATATTTTCAAGGTCCTATTTCTAGAGCATTTGGACTTTTAGAACATATAGGTGACATGTACGTTGCAAATTATCTCTTATAAATCATTCCAGCAGCCTAAAAAAATCCATCAAATAGATGATGAAAGTATTGGGAGGATTGAAATGACATCTGCTGGAATCAACGTTCTCGAACATACATATATTCAGTGTTTAGAGGATACTTTCATCAGGATGCAGAGGGATACAAAGCTACTGCTGAGCCTCCACACATCTAACTGGTGAAACCACTTCCAAATAGATCAAAGAACCTTCTTCATCTGAACCTCTCTTTTGACCTTGGGACTCCTCAGTGGGTAAAGGTGTGTGCCAAAGCTATGGGCAGGAGAATGGCAGTCCTACTCTCATGTATTTTATGTTGAATTGTGCTATTGTTTTGCTTAATGTGGAAGGCGCTACACAAATGTAATTTGTTGTTGTTGAATTCTTAAAAAATAAAATTATGTTATGATATGGGATAAAAATAGCAGTTTGCAACAGCCATAAGAGACTCAGATTTATTAATGTCACACATAAAAAGGAAAATCCTACAATCTGCTTTTATAACTTAATTTCCCGCAGATCGGATGTGATGGACTGGTGGTTACCAGCAGGATTGCCCATTACCTCTATCTGAGTCACTACTAGTGAATCGATTTGTGAACCAATCCCTATTAGCTTCCCTCCCCCCTTCCCTTGTGTCTGTCTTTCGTACTCACCAATACTGGAATGAAAATGGCTTAAATTAAACTTCAATAAACTGAAACTCCAAAATTTCATTTGTCCAATTCATTTTAATTGTATCTAAATAAACAAATGCCAAGAGCCATGCAATAATCATGTACTTAGACAATATAGGTAGATCAATGGGACACCAGTCTGACGTGTTTCATTTGCATATTGAATTGGTCTTTGATAGCATTAAACAGAAAACATCAAAAATTCAATCTATAAACATGTACACCACCAGATGTGGGTGCTATGTTTCTTTATGCTTCTATGTTCAATCCATTGTGGACCACGAAGTACAAATCCCTAACCCTATTGCATGGTTGTTTTCTAAAGCTTTACACATCATATCCAAGTCTGCTACCTGTTAAGGTGTTAGCATTTGGCCTGTGGGTTTGGTTCATCACAAAAGTTAAGGTTGCTGTCATCTTTCAGTTTGATTTTCACATTATGGAAGCACTTCTGTCAAATATTTTTAAAATAATCTGGTCAAAAAAAATTGGTCACTCAATCCACGACTGTTTGTGAGACGCTGCTGTGCACAATTTGCTGCCCCGTATCGCCTATAAAATATAGTCAATGCACTTTACAGTATATTCTGTGAAGAGTTTTGAGATATCTCAATGACCTAATAAGGCTCTATCTATATCAAATGCAAGGATTATTATTCTTATTTTAAAATTCAACACATTTTTTTTCAAGATCCAGACAAGCATCTTAACAACATACATGCTTCTCTTGAGCATGTCCTCCCAATGTGAAAGGCACTATACAAATGTAATTTTGTATTGTATGTACTTTGTTGATTTACCATCAGGATTTGGGATATAATCCAATGCCAGGCATTGTTCTCAGCATTCCCATGTTTCTAATAATACAGTATGTACATTCACAATCCTGTTGCTGTCATTTTCACAATACCTTTATATTTTCCTAATAGCAGGAAATCTTATTAAAAGTTTGGCTTCATATAATAATGCTTATTTACTTTAATATACCTTTTTTTCCAGAAAATATATCTATAAATTATCATCTCTGAAATAAATAGATTTCCTGTAATTTCATGGTGTGCTTATTCTAGTTGCAATTTTTGTTAGTATTAATATGTCTTGGGCAGGATTCTGTGAGTACAGGATTCACACATTGTTTGATCTGCACTTACAATAGAATTTCCCAATATAAGTTCAAATCAAAGGACTCAATATACCTCGAATAGGCAGCGTGATGTGTGGTGTTAAACTGTCATTAACTAATCTTTCAGTTATTTCATCAAGAAACTGTTAGATTTGTCTAAATGACTATTAATATTATTGCGTACTATGGTCTCTAAATGTTTGATCACTATGGATGTTAGGCCGACTGGTCTTTAGTCACTTCACTTATCACGTTCTCCGTTTTTGAACAGAGGTGTTAACATTGTAAACCCTCCAGTCTTCAAGCACAATTTTCATATCCAGGAGTGTTTGAAAGATTGTAGTCAGAGCATCTATTATTTCCACTGTAACTTCCCTTAGCATTCTCAGAGTATTTTTTTGGTCAGCAGGGTGTCTGACACATTCCCATGCTGAAGGGTATCCAAACCTGACATATGTCTGTCACCTACACATTGAAATTTCCCTGTGCCTAGAATGGAATGCTCACTCCCTCCATGGAGAGATGCACTCTGCTTACCAAATGGCCTTGACATTTCTGACCTGTCTTACACAGACAAGGCCATCTCGGACCACTTCCTCATTTCACTCTCCTCCCGCATTCCCCTTCCTTCTTCCAAGCCATCCATCATTTTTTTCCGCCTGGAAAATGCTTTCCCCTGAGTCCTTCACAAGTGCTCCCTCTTCCTCGGACATCCTCTCCCTCTGGCCCTCCACCCGCAGCCATCCTGATGCAGCTGTCAAGCTGCTGAATGACCATTTCTCCACAATGTTCAATTCCCTGACTCCCCTGAAATCCAGGGTTGTTTGCAAACCCACCTGCTCCCCTTGGTACAACAGTCATCTCCGCTCACTCAAAATAAAAATTTGGATGCTCAAGCATAGATGGCAGAAATCCAGCCTCACGATTCACTGCCAGCTGTGGCTCGAGCACCTCCGCGCCTACCTCCTCTCCCTTTCACAGCCCAAAATCGTCTTTTACTCCAATGTCATCCTGGAGGCAAACAACAATCCAAAGACGCTGTTTTCCACTGTCCATTAGCACCTCCATGCATCCCCTCAAGCCTCCTCTATCCTTACATCAGACACAAAGTGCGAAGAGGTCCTAGACTTCTTTGCCTCAAAGATTGAAAACATCCGTTTGACTGCATCTTCCTTAACCCCCACTTCATGTCCCCTTCCACCCAACCCAGATCATCCACACCCTTTCTCCCTCCACCAGGGCTCCTGCCACTCCCCCTCCTTACACTTCTTTGCCCCCATTTCTCCCTCCTTTCAACCAAAATCATCCAGATGAAGTTTACCACCTGCCGCCTCGACCCCCCTCCCCACCCAGCTGCTCGTCACTCAACTCCCCTTTTTCTACCCCCTGCTGGCTGACATGGTCAACCAATCTCTCAGGCTCTGTTCCACTCCCCCTGAAAACCACTGTCATCACACGCCTCCTCAAAGAACCGACCCTCGATCCCTCTAATCTCGCACACTACCGCCCCATTTCCAACCTACCCTTCCTTGCCAAAGTCCTGGAACGCATTGTTGCAGGTCAACTTCGGTCACACCTCTCCCTCCACTCCCTCTTTGAGCCCCTACAGTCTGGTTTACGCCCTGCCCACAACACAGAGACAGCGCTTGTCAAAGTCACAAACAACGTGCTCTTTATCTGTGACCAGGGCTCCCTCTGCCTCCTCGTCCTCCTGGTTCTCTCTGTCACGTTTGATGCAGTCGACCCCGCCGTCCTCCTCCACCACCTTTCCTCCCTCATCCACCTTAGTGGGACTACACTCGCATGGTTCAAGTCCTGCTTAACCAACTGCCTCCACTTCATCTCAGCAAATGGTTTCTCCTCCCGCCCTCATCCGGTCACCTGCAGGGTACCCCAGGGCTCCATCTTTGGCCCTCTTCTTTCCTTATCTAAATGCTCCCTCTGGGCGATATCATCAGCAGGCTTCCACATGTATGTGGATTGCACACAAATTTACTTTGCGTCCTCCATTACCAAATCCAGGTCTGCCTGGAGACAGTGTGGTGACAGTGGTTTTCAAAGCTGTTCTATCAGCTTGTTTAGCTGACATCAGGGCCTGGATGAGTGTAAACTTCTTGCAGCTGAATGTGGACAAGACGGTAGCCATACTCTCTGGCTCCCGTCAATGTCTACCCTCCTACGGATCTAAACTCCTCAACCTTCCTGGGCTCTCCCTCAAACTCAGTAGCAAGGGTCAGCATGAAATGCATGAGAACATTCCAACTACAAATCTATGTGGAGTCCTGTAGCTCAGTGGTTAGAGCACTCGCTTTGCAAGTGAGAGACCTGAGTTCAATTCCAGGCAGAGGGCGAAACCTTGGGCAAGTTTCCTTACTCCACACAGAGCCTAATAATAATCCCTCCAAAACCAAAAACAATAATAAGTTGGTCATTTTCAATCTACGACTGTTTGTGGGACATTGCTGTGCGCAATTGGCTGCCGCATTCGCCCACAAATATACAGTCAATTCACTTTACAGTGTGTTCTGTGCTTTGGGACGTCCTCCTGACGTGAAAAGCGCTATATCAAATGCAAGGATTATTATTATTATTATTATTATGCAAACAGAATAAAAACCACAAGCAAATAAACAAGGAAAAGTATGTTATATATTTACATTCATACGTGTCACGTTTGACCCAACATTTTGTCTTCAGGAACAAGGACCGCAGTCACTGCAGTTATGTATGGATTTACATATGGAATATGTATGGCATAATGAATTGTACAAATGCAATGCAAAGCGGTTACATATTATTTAA